CACTGGTCCATACATGGAAAATGGGGTCATTAAAGGAACACTTTGCAACAGCTGTTAAAATTATTGTTATAATGCAAGAGACTAGAATTACAGCTCAGACCTCATGTACGAATATAACAATTATGTCTCAGAAAGCGTAAGATGCAGCTTACAGGTAACAATGCCTGTAAGGATTACTGAGCATATTTAGTCTGCCCTCCTGCACTTTGCAGATTGCAATTATAGATTTTTCTTCCCTATGCAGTAATCTACAGGAGCATAAGTTTTCTTTCTCACACTTTGTTCATTCTGCCATTACCAAGCTGTCTAGTGATATCTTGTATGCAATATAAATTCACAGATAAATGAAAGGAGAAGAATCAACTCAAAAGGAACTGAAAAGGGATGTTCTTCATTTCTCAGAGAAAGCAACTGTTACACTGCTGGCTCTTTTTTTGAAGTTGAGACCACATTTGGACATCACCACAGTTACAGTGGAAAAAAAACATGAAAGCAATAGTCTGTCTTTCATGGGTACTGTGTTTGATTCAGCATTTACAAAAACTTAGCAATTGTTATGTCAGTTTGTTTAGAGAGAGTATTACCCTAACTAGCAATGTTACAGACTTGAAAGCTTCCTAAAAATTCTGAAAAGGAGAGATTAATTCCCTAGCTTTTGTTTCAGTCTGCCAAGAAATACATAAGCAAAGTTTTAAATATAGTATTCCTCCTCTATCAATCTGCAGTTTTAGCAATCAAAAATGGTAATCAAAGGAAAAAAAAAAAAAAAAAAAAAAAAAAAGAGGTGCTACTGTAGCTGACTCTCAGCATGCCTTTGCTGTAGAAGCCAGTTTCTGTATGTGTTGTTGAGAGTGCAATCAGCTGACTGGTATGTAGAAGATCATCACTGTTGGGAAAAAAAGGAAGTGTACTTTTTCACATAAAGACCAATAGATGCTATTTTGCAAAGCATGTAAGCAGATCTTGGCTAGCTGAAATAATCCAGTCACTTACAGTAACCTTGCTGTGTAGTGTTTACAAGCTTTGTGCATCTTCACATCTTTGTGCAACTTTCTACATGCCATGAAACCCACTACTTCAGATATAGCTGGCCATAGCAACATTTGCACTGTAGGTGTCTCTCAGCACTACAGTCTTTCAAAATATAAAGATGAGGTACTTCAACACTTAAATATAGGAATAACAGATGAATCTGAGGTGCAATTACTACACTATACAACATTTAATAGACAATTAAATAGTCTGCCCATTTCTGCACAGATATTCCTCAGAAAAATAATCCAACCTCAGAGATAGAGACGTGAGAATTTTTATTTAGAAATCTAATTAATGTTAGGTCCCATCAGAAGTTTAAGAAGCCAATACGAAGTCTGTACGATGCACGATTTTCTCTTAAAAAGCATTGTCACCATGACCACACACCAGCACTCCATTTAAGAAAAAATACTTTGAGTTTTGTACTCAAAAGTGCAGGTGAGGGTCAATACATTTTACACTATGTAAAGTTTAACTAGGCTCTTTTGTGCATTTGGAGGAGACACTAAAATACCATGCAAGATGCAATGACTGAAAATTACCTGGGCTGCTCTATCTGGCTCTCCCTTTTTTGTTTCAGTAGGAAGTAATGGAGAAAGTATTTTGTCTTAGACCTAACTGACAAAGTAAGATCTACTGCAGAGTGCTCTGTAAAACAAACCAGTTGACTGTTAACGTGGACCCTCATAGAGTGCTTTTCTTATCCTTTTTTTTTAACCTGCAGATGTCCTAGACCATAGCCATCCAGGAAGCAAGCTCTCTGAATTGGATTCCTCCTCCCTTAGGGGATTTAGGGATCTTAAACTACATCAGCTGCTCCTATCTTCAGATTTCTTCTCTAGATATAGAGAACTGTGACAGGTACTGGCAGTTGTTTGTTCTATGATCTGACTCAGAGGCTACTATCTTTTTTAGGCAGGTATCCATTTTCAGCCATGTACTTGCAAAATGCTGTGACAAATTCCTATAAATTTGCTGTTCAAAGCTTTAATGCAATTCCCTAAGTAACCTCACATCTTCTCTGGGTAAGAAAAATAGATTTGTGTCGTTCTATTACCATCATTGTTCTCACAATTGATGTTGAATCTAGCAATTTATATTTATCAAGAATAAATAGCATGAATTTAATGAATAAAAGCATGCACTGCATTTCATCAGGCATCTTGTACACAAGGACTCTCCTGCTTCAACTGAGCAGACCCACGCAATGCAAACAGTGCATCCCCTCTGCCTACCTACACCACATTGAAAAAAAGCTTCATCAGCCCAAATAGATGTACTAAGCCCCTGTAATTGCAAAGACAAGGCATGTTATGACAATAAAGATTTCTCAAGTCTTTATCAACCTAGTGTTGGTTTAAATATTTGGAGAGTTTAAATTGAGATCTCAAAAGTTGTGCTGAATCACAAAAGCTTCCTATCTTTAGTCTTACTAGAGATAGTGAAATAATCAACCTAAAGTAAAAGCTTTTCTCTGGTGTGCTTGGTTCCACAAACACAAAGCATGCAGTCATCTGAATAGTTCACTTGTCCTTTCTTAAACAGGTCTCCATCCCACAGTCAGTGATTATAATCCTTCTTTCTTTCTAGCAAGCCTGTACATGCAGAAGGGGAGTGGGAAAAGAGTGAAAAAATAGCCAGTAGAAGCACATTTACTTCTTTGCATACAGCTCAGTTTTAAACAAAGCGGATTAATTAAACTGCAAAGAAGCAGCTTGGTGCTTTGGGTTTTTTTTTTGTTGTTGTTCGATTTTTCTAGTTTGTTTTTTGTTGTTGTTCCAAAGGGATTTTGTTCTACTTTTGAGAAGGAAATAAAGAAATGTAAACTTTTTAATGGGTTTCAGCCACGTTCTCCAGCTACATTTCCACCACCAATCTCTCCCACAGTCTTTACCTTCACAGTGAGGAGGGTCCACTGCCCAGGCTAGCATGTCACACAAGTGGCACAGCAACTCTCTGCATGATCTCTTCTAATGGAAATACCTGACAGCTACCTGCTGCTGGATCCTGAGCCACGAGCTGATGTGGCCATGGGATGTTGGCGTGTTAACAAACACCTCACAGCAGGATTCACTGAATGCACATTTAATTCCTACTGGTTTGTCTCTCCTGTTGGTCAACAAGTCAACATGAACACAGCACAGAGTTACAGCTCTTTTCCGCTTGGCCCTTTGTGCTAAAGCTGGCCTGACATCCATGTGAAGGCCTGCAAAGATACAAACGGGAGAAACAAGGCCATTTGTTTGGCTGATGTCAGAGTAGCACAGCATTTCTTTTGGTAAGGCTGATCCAATGCAGCTCCCTCTCCTCATTTTGAAAATCTGTGAGGAGAAAGGTGCCATTCATTTCTGGCAGAAGTTGAGGGATTTGAAAAGCAGGGAGGGGAAGATCAGGTGGTGCAATGGGGTTTCACTCATTTCTTGGAATTGGTCAGTTCTACTCCTGTCCCATTCACACCTGTTAAATCCATATTTTTTTCTAAATATAAACGGCTGTAGATGGATCATCCACTTACTCAGGGATCTATTTTGCTAGTTCTGCTTTTTCTCTTCACTTTCACACATAAACACAATCCTACAGCAAATCTCTAACCAACCCTTGGTATCCCCCCCTGTGGACAAGCCAATTTTGTTAAGAGTGGCACAGCATCCAGCCCAGCAATCCAAGACTGCCTATGCAGCATACTGTCTTCCCTCTAGTAGAAAGAGGAACTTGAACCCAAGTAAGATACTTTTTTTTTTTTAATGTCAGCGACACCTGAATGTTTCTCTTCCTCTCTTAAGGAGTATGGTAGCTATCCTAGTTAGAATATTGCATGGAATAAAAATCTATTTCCTTTTGATTTCCTTCTTCAGTTTCAAAATCCAAAGCCAACTATCCTACAGCTGTCAGTCTACCGTGGGTAAGCTAATTGTGTACTCTGCTTGAGGTCTGTTCACAATATGAAAGCAGCAGTCAAGTACTTCAGTACAAAATAAGAGACCTGACAGATTTGTAATCTTAACTTCAGTTTCAACTTTGTTTCTTTCCCAAGCATTACCTGCTTTGGAGCTTACTTGGTGAAACAGTGCCTAAGACCACTAAAACGCCCTTAACTCAGCTTTGCCCACTGATATGTTCACGCCAGACACTCTTGCAAAACCTCAGCCATGAGCTCTCAGCTTCACACAAGCAGAAGCAGAAACATGTAGGTGTAGAAACCTCAAAGTCAAACATGAAGCAAGGGAGGTGTTAACCACAAGCTGCGCTCTCTTTAGCAAGTGCACGTAGGTTCCCAACAGGAGACTGGAGACAGCATGCACAAGAAATTATATGCTATAATATTTTGTACCTGCAGCCATCACCACATCAAACCCCAGACTAACCCTAAGAACTTGAGAAAGTCACTGGAGCAGTCAGTGGGTTGCTTTTCTAAACAGACCTTTTGTACAGTAATGCAATTTCAGCTTTGGAGGGGAGGAAGAAAACAGTGTTCTCACGTCAGTGTCTCAATCAGATTATGTTTCATTCCTCCCGGTTCTTATCCAAAATTTGGCTTTGGTCCTTCACTCGGTGACACATGAATCCTAGCATCAAACGAGACAAAATCATGCTGAACAAGTTCATTCAAAAGTAGTGTGTAAAGATCAACAACAACAATGAACTAGGAAACTGATATATCAAATCCTGTTTGTCTTGAGCATGAGTTCATCTGTAGGTGCCCTCTGCCTGTTCCAAATGGCCACAAAATGTGGCATTTGAAGAGCTGTTGTGTTGCATTTTAATGGTAGCTAATAGGATAACTAACTCTGTAACATTCTTTCACACATTAAAGCTCCTCTAGAAATAACATTAATACAAAAATTTAATTAGCATAATTCATTGCTGAAAAAAAATCCTAAAACCTGCCCTTGGAACAGGTTCCTATACTAAAAATAAGACAGAACCCCACACAGTCACAGCACAATTAATTTATTAGCATATCTTGTGAGTCACTGGTTTTGATCCAGGGGACATGACAGTTTTGGCACTAGACTGATTTCAGAGCTACTCAGGCCCCTGTTAGTAGAAAGGGTTTTTAATAGGACTGAGTGGGCTGAACAAATGTTCCTTCTTGACATGGGGAATTAAATATTTTCTTGAATAAGTAAAAACACAGCCCAAGCCCTTGCTCCAGGTCACAGTTCCTCATCCCACCGGGAGCAGTTCCAGGCTGGTTACCATCAGTGACCATTCTATTCCCATGCCCACATTTTCTAGCTGCAAGGAACTCCCAGAAAAGCAAGAAGATGTTACGTATTGCACTGCAGTTCAGCTACTAATAACCTTCCTCTTATATACATAAATATGTGTCTTTAAGTGGTTGATGGATCACAACAGTTACTTTGGGGATGAAGAGTCTTCAGGATATTGGCTTCAGAAAATAAGGCAGACAGACATAAAGCAAACCCTGTTTTCCTATCTCTGAGACAGCAAATACTCATGTTCCTAGTTCCTAACCAATCCCTCCACTAATACCTTTGAGGAACTGATTTGTTATTCTCTGCTACAGAGGTACAAGGATTACAGGAGTAATTGAAATCCTGTTCAGGTTCATAAATAGCTGCCCAATTAATTACAGCATGGAAACATAATTCTTATAAATCATCTGAAAAGCATTCAGCTACAGGAAATGGATAAATCTTTAATCCAGCTTCAACCGGCCCAAGCCTGGACTGGTATCAAGACAGGGCTGATGAGAGTACCCATGTAGCCCCTAGAGGGCAGGAAGGCACTAGCACTGGGTCCGCCTTTGTAAAGCACCGGGGTATTCTTGTAGGAAGAGGGCTAACAGGAGCCATGTTAGGTGCTCCTTAGACACTCTATCTAACAAATGTTCCCCAGTCACAGAGGCACTGTTTTTCATTCAACCAACACGCACCACACTACTGCAGGAACTTGTCTTACAAAGCATCCCCATAGCGCATCGCAGATGCCAGTAACTGAACTATCAGTTCCTGGAAGGGAGGAATGGGCATTACCCTCAACCAGACAACGAATGCTGCTAAGGACTCATCAGGTACCCCCTGCCCAGAGCCACGTTCTGTTCCACAGATATACCTACAGCAGCTGGCTGTGCTTGAAGGGGCTGCTGCAGCTGCCAGACACTGGGTGAATCAACCTTGGTTGGTTTTTACCTTGCTGTAGGAGGGCTGCCACTAAAACCACACCAGCAAGTTTAAAGCTAGCATACATACATAATACACAGCACTGAACAAACTTACAGCATTGCCTACTATTGAAAATACTGAAAGTAATCAGCAGATGGCACATCTTCCCCTCACAAACTGTTTTCAGTTCTGGTTACCAAAGCTTAAAGACCCAGCAGAAAGAGAAGGCGTGGAGAGACAGCTCATATGTTATCAGGTACCTAGGCAGTTTGGAATGAAGAGAGACAGAGAAGTCACAGTTTTCAAAAGACTGCAGCATAATGGACAAGAGTATAAAGCAAGGGCTCTCATTTCCTCTCATAGTTGAGAACACAAGGATAGATGGGATTCAGTAAAAACAAAAGGCAATGCATTCAGGATCTATAAAAAGACAATTGTACTGTGGAGAATGAAATTATATTGGTTCTCATTGTCAGAAAATACTGAGGCTGTAGAGCTTAGTTGGATTAAATAAGAGATTAAACATTTATGTGAAAGACGAGGGATGTTTACAATAAACTTTTTTTTTTAAGTTTGGGATATAAACATTGATACTTCCGAAAAGAAAAAATCATGAAAGTATAGCACGTAGTGTTTGAGCAGTACCTGGAGGGACAAGTACTAGTACTTTTAATTTGAACAGTGATAGCAATGCAAGTAATTAACATAAATGGTCCAAGAACAAGATTTCCCAGAAAAAAAAAGAAAAAGGCTGTTAAAACTTGTTCAGTACAAACGCACACACACTGTGCTTTGACATGTCTGCTGCTGGCCAACGTTAGGTACAAAATACAACTTTGGAGCGGCTGAGTGCTGGTCTTCTGATCAGATAATTCCAGTAACCCCCTGTGGCAAAGCATGTGAGTTTGGTTTGGGCCACAAAGAGGAACAGTGATGTTTTGAACAGGTTAGGACAACTCACAAGCGTGTTTGCAGGTTTGCTTAGCACAAGTAAGTGTAAAACTAGGTGAGGTACTTCCTCCCTTCCTCCTAGCTCATTCAGGACTCACAGAATGTTAAGTACCGTGATTCTCACAGCTTTCATGGTGACAAAATACAGGGGAAATATTTTGAATTGGAACATGGGAATCACAGAATGCTGTGCCAGGTCTGTGTCTCACTTATGTTGCATAGGCATTTTTTCTAACTCCTGAATGGCAACAAGTTAAGTAGGCTTAGGGAAAAAACCTTCAATCCTTTCTATATTTCTAAGCCTGTTGGGGTTATGAGTATAAGCTAGAAGTTCAAACCAGGTTAAACTAGAGGCGTGACAGCACTATGTTTGAGCTGATGTAGCATTCAGGCTTGGGGGAGGCTGAAAGTGAAAACTAAATCCCTCCCCATTTCCCAAACAGGTACTGTTACTGCCACTCTGGAATAGAGAGGTCTGTAACATAATTGTCCTCGGTTCTCCTCTCATTTTAACTCCTAAGAGAAAACCAGCAGTCTAGCCTGCAGCTTGTGCCTTAGGGACACTCCGCCAGCAGCCATGGACAGCACAGGCAGCACGGAGCCAAGCACAGCACTGCAAGGACCAAGCCTAGCTCTTCAAATAGAGTCATCAACACAAGCACACTGCAGACATTCAGCCCTCAAGAAGGGGCACTAACAGATCAGGTCTGTCTCAAAGGGCAATTTGCAGGTGTTCTAACATTGCATGTTTCAAAGATTCCTTTAATTCTTTTTTAAAAATAAAGTTTCCATGTATGATTTTCAAAGTCCATTAGAGCACTTGTAAGCCAACTGTACAGTAATCACTGGAGAAGGTAAATTAACTGTTCAGTTTAGCAAAAATCAGACACCTATGCAGGTCACTTTTAGATTAAGCTGCTTTGTAGAAGAGAAATTAAAACTTCTGGCAGTCACTGCTTGTTTAACTCAAGGCAATTTCTAATACACTATCACTACTTGTCCTATCATATGACATAGCTAATCCACAGGTTGTGCTGTCTTCCATTCTTGCCTTGATAATTCCCAGGTACCAAACATCTCAGTGCCTTGAGTACAGACCTTGCAGTCAGCAGGCTAGTGTGTGACTGAGTGAATCCAAAACATGCACATTTGGCAAAAGTTCCACATGTCTCAGACTGTATTATTACTCCATGTTTGGATCATTGGTTGTGCACCAAGGCTGCTCATGAACAGGCCTGTCTTCTCTCTGGCTTGGCTACACGTATACAGAACACACCACTGTGAGCTGCACAACTGTTAACACACTTAGCTCTTCTGCTTTTGTATTTTTCTCCCTACTCAAAAATAATCAATTAACCTAGAAAGTAATTAAGGCCTCAGAGCAGGAAATTACGTCCATTTGTTTGAATGAGAGAAGGAAGAAACTGAAGTGTTCAATAACACTTGTATTCTCTCCGTATTATTTATGTCCAGGTTGAGAAGGTCTGACCCTAAAACAGTAGTAGCTTGATGGCACTGCTTGCAGACCCTTAAGTCAAGCCAAAACCCAATTCCACTGAGATGAATGAAAAGAGAAACATAAAAAGAAGAGAGAAACTGTTGTACAAAGGCTGCATATACTCCAGGAATGCAGGAAACTGCCTTGCACCTCAAGAAAACTACTCACTCTAGTGTTTGTTTGGTGTCTACACTCCAGAGTATTTCCATGCTTCACAGGAGGACTATGAACACAGAGATACTAAAGGCTAAGATCACAAAGGGCAGTTAATAATAATGATGAATAAAATATCAAGATAAAGTCCCTGCAGTGCTGTTAAACTATGAATCAACACCTGAACACTTAACACTATATTTGGATTTAACGAAAAGTAATAGTGTCTATTCCAGTCACAGTGAAGTCACATTTTTAAGTCATTCACAGTAATCATGAGAGCAAGAAAGCTATTGTCTCTTAAAAGCGAAGATTTACTCTCACACAAACAATTGATTCCAGGAGACGCTGCTTTATGGAGAAACAAAAAACAAACCACAGAAGAACCACAATTTTGAGAAAGCAGCAATAAAGCCGTAGCATCTGACCAGAAATGTGTGGCACAAGGATTACAGCTGGAAGGACAAGCACCTCTTAGCAGGGACAGACATTTTAGAATCTAATATTCAGAAGAGAAAAGGTTCCCCCTAGAGACATATCAGGGGAAAAAAAAGGCCAATTGTTAGCCTGCTCCTCAGCTCAGGTCAAATCTTCTCATTTCTGGAATGGAAGAGAGACATGTTATGAAAAAGTATGCCAGAGCTTGCAGCAACTTACAAGCATCTCACCTGTCTTTGCAGTGATTTTCAAGTGTGTGAACATACAAAAACTGGTGAACAGATTTACAGAGACAGGCATATCTTCATTTCTACCATTTCCGTGTGTTGGGACCAAAGAAATAAGCATTGATTGCATTACAGGACTCAAACTTGTTGTCAGAGCAACACAGGCTAATTTGTCCTACCAGTGTGCACTTGCTTTGTCTGCTCAGAGATTAAGAACTAAAGTGAGACCAAAGAATCAACCATAGCTGTTTTTCTCCCAGTTCTATGTTAAATTACTTTCCCAGTGTCCAAAAGAAAACACACATTTCCACCATTCCCAGGCCAGAAGCCACAGCTTTCAGCTGCTGCAGGGAGAAGGACAAGTTGAAGTTCCTGGGGCTCAGACATTTTCATTTTAGCTTGGTCACTTTCTTGATCCAGGGTACGTATCTGCTGACCTTTGTGTACACACCAGGGGAATCCTTCCGACCACACCCGTAACCCCAGGAAGTGATTCCCAAAATGATCCAGCGTCCATTTGACTTCTGACACATGAGTGGCCCTCCGCTGTCACCCTGGCAGCTGTCCACTCGTTTATCTTCAGAGAGGTTCCCAGCACAAATCATGCGGTTCGTGAACTTCTGCCCATAACGGACCTCACAGTCTTCCCGTGGCAGAAGAGGCACCACCCCCTGCAGTAGTGTTCTTGAATAAGATTTCCCTGGAACAGAACAGACCAGCTAAACCAATTCACATACAGACAACAGCAGCAGCCTAGAGCAACAGTTCTCTGCACAAAAATGGATACTTGTACATTTCACATCAAGATTGTGGCACAGAATTAGGCCAAACTCAGCATCTCTGAACGACCAGAACTTCAGAGAAGTGCAAAACCAGACCACAAAAAAGAGCTGTAACATCAAAGAAGCAGGGAAGAGGTTGGAGAAAGGGGATAGATCAAAGGATGAGTCTTACTCCTGGTTCTGCCAACGAATAACTTGAACTTTGTTCAGCTTATTTCACCTCTTAGAGCCTTCATTTCTTTCTCTCTAAAATGACAGTGTTTTCACAAAGGAATAAATGAAGTAACATTTGTGAAATGCTCAATCCTCAGAGAAGTTTTGGAACACGTTTCAGAAGCATCCAAATATTATTCAAAGGGAGCTTACATCATCTTTGGCCAGACTTATTTCTATTTGCTCAAATTTTGGTTACCATAGACTTGATCAGAATTTAAGGCTCATTTCTTAGAGTGCAAACTTCTGGTGCTCAAGATTTAAAGTAATTTATGGACTTACAGTAAGTTCACGAGGTAGTTGTTAACTCATTGAGAAAGATGGGTTTGGTGTGTGGGAGAGATTCTACATGTTAAGTACCAGCATAACTTAAAGGAACTACATGACTAAATTACTCCTTGATCCTCTGCAGACACCCCAAAGTGACATGTGCACCTGGTATAACTAACTTCAAAGGCAAATCTGTATTTTCAATCAAACACTTGAGTAACAGCTAGAGAAACAGCTGGAAAGGATGGCTAAGTCCAAAAACAACAGAAAACTCCTGGGGCTATTTGTGTTTTGGCAGCAAGTCTTTCTGAACATATGGATTTTCTCCAGTCACAGCAGCCCAGAAAGGCTTCCTTTCCTTAAGCCCTCCTTTGCATCTACGAACCCCAAGTGGGAAAGGACTGCACAACTGGTCACAACGTCTTACTTAGAGTTCAAAGCTGTCCCCAGACTAATGCATTCATGTCAGAACGCCACCAAGCCCAGCATTTTAAAACATTGCCTTGACAGTGTTAACAATTTAGTCATTAATACTTTCTAGAATATTCTCTCCTCCCTTTAACCTAGAAGTTTCAGAGTAATGTTGTGTAAAACGGCATGTACGGCAGGTTCTCAAAGCTTGTGCAGAAACCAATGTCAGAGCCCAGCTGTCCCTGGAACAATATCCAGGGAGATTCATCACAGTGGCTGGACTTCCAAGAAAGGTCACCTACTGTACAGAAAGAGCACTTTGTCTCAGCTCACTACCTAGGCACATGCTCTTTACAAGCAAGATTTATGAGGAACACTCCTTCCACTGCAAAGCCCTCACTTTACTACTGTGATCTATAAAGAAGGCAGGAGACCATGGAAACATGGGGACCTTCCTGAACAATATACAGATTTTGTGCACCAGCTCTGCATGTGCAATGGCTCTGTTGTGGGCAAACATGCATGCGGAAAGGGGAGAGAATGAGAGAACTGTGATGAGCTGGCAGGTTTCCTCTCCCTCACAACTTCAGAAGATTGCTATGGCAACCAAAACTTCCATCATGGACAGGCTTCAAGACAACCTTAACATCAGAAGAAAACAGTGGCACAAAAATTGCTTTATTTCCTGTTCCTTGACACCATGCACTTGGCAGAAATAATAGGAGCATTAAAAACATGGCCTTGAATTGAACAGACGTAAAATAATTGTGCATATAGATTCCTCAGTCCAGATTCTCCCCATCCCTATCTTGCTCCTAAGAGCTTTGTCACTTACCTGTGTCTCCCCAACCAGAGATGATGCAGGCTTGCCTGTTTATGTCAGACTTCTCTTTCTTATCAGGAAGGCAGATAGGCAGAACGTGGCTGTTGAAGGAGAGACAATGCCCCTCTCTGCCTCGCATTCGGACCAGGGCAATGTCATTATCGTTGCTGCCAGCCCAGTAGTTCCTGTGGAGGACAATCCGCTCCACAGGCAGCTCTCTCTCAAACTCATCCTTCACAGCTGTGTGGTAGTCACCTACCCGCAGCAGGTAGCGTCGCACATCAACACCAAACCTAGAGAAAAAGACATGCAATACCTTGATATTTCTACTAACAGAGAATTAGACTCATGCAAGTCTCAACTGCTTTGAGACTCAACCCACAAACTTATAAAGAAGTGCCAGCTACAGGACTGTGGGATCTCTTCCCACAGATGTGATAATGCCAGCTGTTACAGTCACTATTTACCATGCACAATACTTCTTTCTATAGAAAGGGTTACAACAGTTGTAACGGGCTCATGGCTTTCTCTTTTCACATTTCCTTAAAGTACTGGGAGATGATTCTATGATTAATAGCAAAATGATGGTTCCCTTTAAGGTGTAAAACTTCAAAGTTAAGAGGGCAGGTATAAGCAGTGAGGGATAACGCAAGCCTAAATTGAGTCATCCCCATAAGTGCTCCAAAAATCACACACATCATAACCTGAAGGTCTTGGTTTAGAAACTTTGTTCATGTGTTTCCATTGGGTTGGGAGAACAACCTCATTTGAGGTTATCTTCTTTGTCTTTGAGAATCCCTTAGAGCTCCCATTTACAAACACACCTTTTGAAGCAGTGGGCTGCAGTCACTACCCAGCAACTGCTGATCAGTGTTGCCCCACAGAGCAGACGGGTATCTCTCTGGAAACCCTTCAACCGTAGTGAGGCCTGCCATGGCCAACCACCTCTGAAGAAGAAACAGAAGAACAGTAAGCATCACATACACGGGAGTTGTTGCTTTTCCCGTTCACTCTGCCTTATCTGAGTTCAGCTGACAAGCATTCTTCCCTAGATAGACCATTGGTTCAAATGAAGTTAGGAAAGCTGGAACCTGTTCTGCCTTTCTCAGCAATTACCTGAGAGACTTGTTTCCACCTATGATCCTTTTCTTGCGACGATGAAGTAGGCGCATGCCACACACACTGGACTCTGGACCTGCACAGTAAAGTTAGCACAGTTGGATAGATACCTTCAGCTTGAGTATCAACAACTGCTGTCACAGAGCCAAGATATCCCTCCTGTCCCCTGAAGGCATTAATCCTCCTGGTAGTTGACTGCATTGTGTTGTGCAAAGGAATTTATATAAGATTTGTTCCCAATGGTTTCCACAGTTTTAGTGGAGGAGCTTACCTCCAGAATCTGTAGTCCTATGGCAAGAATTGGCTCTACATCTTTCCTCAGTGCTCCAAAGCCCAAAGTTTGCTTATAGTTACTGCTCTAAGGAAGAGTATAATGATATGACTCAAGGGAAGTTCTGCAGGCTCAAAGACCTGACGTGGTTAGAGCTCCTCTGACTAGTCTAGATTAGAAGAGACAGTGAAAACAAAGGAAGAGTAACCAGGAGCTGCAAGAGAGAACATGCTTATTTTGTAGTTAAAGTTTCAACTGAAAAAGATAAAAACTACAGTGAAAAAGCATGCAGAAATCCTAAACCTTGAGCCCCAGATTTCTGTGTAGAAGAAAGGGCACATCACCTGTTCTCCTGATATCCTGGACCTTCTCTTCCACATAGTCACAAATCACACCAGCATCTTCACTGTGCCAGCAACTGTGAATCCCAGTGTCAGGTCTGACACATTGCCCCAGAGCGTGCTCTGTGCCTCTACATTCTATACTGTCCAGATGGATGGGCCCTTGGCCTTCACCAAAATAAGCCATTGCCCTGGCTTTTGCTGCACCACTGCAATGAGAGAGAGAATGGCTAATGTGCATTAAGCAAGAGGCAGGTGAAACTGATGCACCAGCATGTTTTAAAGAGAAATTTCAAGGGAAATGAATCTCCCAGAAACAGGTTCAGAAAGAAGATTCCTCCTGAGAGCAATTTGTATTTGTAAGATGCATGTACCAGTCATCTTACCTGAAGCCCAATTGCCTGCAAACTACTGTAGCATCTCTGTCTGTCCAGCCATCATCACAGATGCTGCCCCACTGCCCATTCAGGAATACTTCAACCCGTCCCTCCTTGGTGCTTTCTCCATCCACCAGCCGCACAGGAGGTCCTGTGAAAGAAAAAACACAGGGGTTGCTGCAAGTAAAAATACCAAAGAGCATGAGGTGCCCAGAACTTAGTTTTTATAGGAAAAACTGAGGAGATGAGGAGGAGGTGAGAAGAAGAGTGGTGAGCTATTTGACCGCTATGTCCCTCATTTCATTGCCTTGCAAAATTGGTGCATATTAATTTATTAAATACACACTGGAAATCATTAGATCATATTTCTGAAAGCTAAGTAAAGAGGAGAACAAGAGCAGAAAGAAAGTTATTAGCTGCTGAGCCAAGAACGGACAAGCTTAAACATGCCTTGGAAATAAATCCATTCAATTATAAAAACTATTACATTATTCTAGGCAAGAAAAGTGCTCTACATCCAGGAAAAACAACAAAAAAAAATTGGATGGTGTATATTTGAATTAAAAAAAAAAAAAAAAAAAAAAAGATGACAAATTGGAAAGTTTCCTGCAGTAAACAGTACCAGGCCTCATATAAACAAAGAGACCATCAGAATCGTTCTCTTCAATCTCCATCTCTCTACAGGTCTGGCTGTACATCTTGAAGAACCACAGTTCCATGGCTCTGCCCCAAAACAGCCAGGGCTTATTCCTATGAATCCTTCTCAAAAACCAGTTCTAATTGAGGCAGCAGAGGGAAAGATCCCACATCTGCCAAAGTTTCCAAAGTATCAGACCAGAAAGTGATGTTTTCCCTCTGTCCAGAGCAAGGCACAAGTTAAGTTACCGAGGCTGCCAGTGACTGTGTTGCTCTCAGGGGAACAGTGGACTCCCACGTCCTCAGCGTGTGAGCAGTCGTGCTGCCCCCAGTTGCTATGGGGACAGTCCAGGAGGGAGAGCTCCGTGCCCACACAAGCCACATCATCCAGCAAGATAAAGCCTTGGCCAGCAGCATAGTCTGCTTCAGAGGCCAGGGTAGCAGGCCCACTAGAGGGAAGAAAGAGAATGTTAACATCAAAGTCATTGTAACTCACTAATCCCACAGAGGGTCCCAAACTCAAACCAAAAGGAAAACTCACCTGGAGACATCTTCTGTGGCACTGGTGGTCTCTCTACTCAGCTATTCAGTGATACAGCCAATCAGCTGGCACACCTCACCAACTTCAGCTTTCATAGAGACCATTAAGAAATCCCTACCACTACTCTTTCTTGTTCTAATGGTCTTCCTTCAAGTACCAAAGCAGGTGATGTAGGTTAGCAGCAGTGCAGACAGCTGATACTGTTTAGCAGGTGATAAAGCTTAGCTGACAGAGCAGACAGGGTGGTAGTGCTGAGCTGATTATTTCTTAAATTTTGAGATGTATAAGAAAAAATTCTAACTTTGGTGGGGGATTCATTAAGACAGTACTAAGCCTGTTATCTACTTTCAAAACAGGTCAAAGCAAGAAATAATTAAGACAGATACATATATTAATTTTTTCCTGGGAAAGGATGTGGACACCTATTATTCTTTCCTGAATGAAACTGCATAATGGTAATGACAAAGTACTGAAGGAAGTACTGAAGGAAGTAACGTCCAGCCCATACCAGTAAAGGGACATAGAATCTAAACCTTGACATTAGGAAGTACAGATACTACAAATGCTCTCAGTCCTACCTGAAGCCCAGCTGCCTGCAGACCACCTGGGCACTGAGATCTGTCCAGCCATCATCACATACTGTGCCCCAGTCTCCATTGTAATAAACTTCTACCCTGCCTTCGCTGGGGCTGCGACCACCAGTCAGCCTTACAGTGCCCTCTGCAAGGGGTAGGAGAAGGAAAGATCAGCACTCAGAAAGGGAGAGAATAAACAGCCTAAGCCCCATTGCTGAAGACTCTCTACAGCCCATGACAGGAAGAAACCAAAGACAGTTACCTAAGGATACCAAAAAAAAACGAACATACCTCAGTCTTTCCATACCTCAGCATTTCCACCTTGTCTGGCTCTGATTCATTTCCACCTATGTAATACAGGAGCAAGGCTGCATCTGACTGGCACAGAACTGTAAGTACATACCTGTGAAAGGGTCACAGGAGACGCCAGCATCTTCAATATGGTCACAGTTTTGTTGTCCCCAGTCACTCTTCTTGCATTGATCGAGTGAGAGTTCATTGCCTGAGCACTCCACTTCATCTAGCAGGATGGGGCCAGATCCCTGACCATAGTGAGCCCACGACAAGGCTTTCGGGTTCCCACTGCAAGAGATGCATGAAAATTCAGTAAGGAAGGTCACAGTCTGGTGCTCTTGGATTCTGTGTTTCCCAGAGTCTCTCCTACACTAATCCTTCCATAGCTTATCTGTATTTCTTACACAGTGGTGTTGTCAACGGTTAACCAATATATCTCACTGGAAAGTTCTTTAATATGATTTGAGGACAATGATGTCTCAGTCTCAGTGAAAGGCAAAACTCCCAAAGTAGGAAGGATCTCAAACCTAACTCAGCTATTTTGAGCAACTATGCAGAATTGATTTAGTGTACAATAGTTCCTTGCATTAAGTGTCGGATAGCACAGAGAATGAGGTGCTCCCTTGCTTTCCTCCTGAATAAAGAGGATAAAGACAATCAGTGAAACTGAAGGTGTTTAAATTTAAACAAATAAATGACTGCAATTCACCTGTGGAAGTCACTGCAAGTTAGCACTGCAGCCACAAATACATGCATTATACAAGCATGTAAAAATAATGAACAGGGATAAACACAAACAAACGTTGGATAGGATTAAACCAACTCTTTTTTACACAGCATAAACCCATAAAACTGACTGACCTAATTAAGTACAAAATCTCATGACAAGATGTTAAGTCTGGAATTATCTTCCCCAAGATTTTCTTACCCTTCCATAGAAAGGAATGGTGCTATATGGTGAAGACAGATGCTCTCACATTCTTTATTCAGACTACTTCTATTACTACTTCATGTGAACAGTACGGAAAGTACCTGAGTCCCAGCTGCCTACAAACTACTTCAGCATCACGGTCATCCCATTGGTCATCACAGATGGTACCCCACTTGCCATCATGGTATACCTCCACCCGTCCTTCAAAGCTCTCCTTTCCCCCAACTAAACGCAATGGAGCACCTACACCTGTGTTTCAAAAAAGGAAAAAAGAATAAAACAGAACAAGATAGAGACAAAGCACATCTAGTAGTTAAGGACATAGAGCTATTCACCAGCCAGAGCCACTTCTGGGACTCTCTTGTTCCATTCTACCATTTCCTCCCCTCCAAACCCTCTAGAAACATCAATGACTGCAAGCCACAGCAGGAGGTGCCACTAGTCCAGGGATGGCTCTTTAACTGGCTGCTACAATGACCAGGACTTTGCTGCCTGTAAACAAAAACCTGTTCAGAGTGAAAAGGGATGTGGTCATAAGCAACAGCATCTTTCAGTGATTTTGGAAGCACACTGAGTACTTGGGATTGGGAAAAAAAAATTGTTTTCCACTGGAAGGAAAGTAATCACCATCGCAGCAGGTGAAAAAAGAATACGCTCCAATGATTTACTCTCCACAGCATCATGATCTCAGATTTAATATCTTATCAGCAACATTAGATTCCAAGCGAACTAGGCACAAGTAAAAAGGGAGTGAACCCCCCTTTAGAGATTTACCTTCTGGAGGGACACATGTTACCATGGCGCTCCCCTGGTTACAAGTTCCTGACACAGCTTCCTGATAGCCGCACTGCAAGAGGGTTTTCTCATCCCCATGGCAGTTTGCTGACTGCAGGTGCAGGGGAATAGGCCACAGTCCAGGATGATTCTTCTTCCCAGCTGTGCCAATCTCACTGGTGTGGAGAATGCAATAGAATGATGAAACTGTTGTACTGCTTAACTCACACTTGTTTTCCAGCCCAATTGTGGCATTTCATGTCTTGTGAGCCCAATTAATTGTGAGAGCTTAAAGGGATAGCCATTTGCAGTCTAAGCAAGCAAGCACGTAGTACTATCCCACCATGTAATACATGCTATCTTCCCTGCAGCAGAGTTGATCTGGTCAGAAATGGTACCCTCATTGGAGAGTGATAAACAAACCCTTCAACAGATTGTAACATGGTCAGCACATCTAAATATCTGAATCAAATTCTTCCTTCTCTGTGGACCTAATCTCTTTTTCTTTGGAAAACTAAAGGCCAAATAAGAGATTCCCAAAGAGGGTTCACAGTTGCAACATTTTCTAAAAGATCAGTACAGTAATACTAAAACGATAATATTAAAAATTGAATCTCTCAGCACAGCACTGAACATCAAGATTTAGAAACTACTGTTCCTGTAAATGCTGACTGGGGTTAGGCATAGCCATGGAAAGAACACAGGTGCATAGGACCCCAGCAAGTAGGAAGTCAGCCTACAGGACAAACTCCTCTCCTACAGCCTACATAGAATCATAGAATCATAGAATCACTAAGGTTGGAAAAGACCTAAAAGATCACCCAGTCCAACCGTTCACCTATTCCCAATAGCTCCCACTAAACCATGTCCCTCAACACAACATCCAGCCTTTCCTTGAACACCCCCAGGGTCGGTGATTCCACCACCTCCCTGGGCAGTCCATTCCAGTGCCTGACCACCCTTTCTGAAAAGTAATACTTCCTCATGTCCAGCCTGAATCTCCCCTGCCGTAGCTTGAAACCATTCCCCCTGGTCCTATCACTAATGACACGAGAGAAGAGGCCGACCCCCAGCTCACTACAACCTCCCTTCAGGAAGTTATAGAGAGCAATGAGGTCTCCCCTGAGCCTCCTCTTCTCCAGGCTGAACATTCCCAGCTCCTTCAGCCTCTCCTCATATGGCCTGTGTTCCAGACCCCTCACCAGCTTTGTTGCCCTCCTTTGAACACGTTCCAGGGCCTCAATATCTTTCTTGCAGTGAGGGGCCCAAAACTGGACACAGTACTCGAGGTGCGGCCTCACTAGGGCTGAGTACAGGGGAACAATCACCTCTCTGCTCCTGCTTGCAACACTGTTTCTGATGCAAGCCAGGATGCCATTGGCCTTCTTGGAATCATATTACTCCAGAAGGACAGTAATTAATGAGGCTGTTCTCTCAAAGAACCTATGAACACATAACACTTCAAGCCACACTGAGGTTCTCACCTGAGACCTAGCTGCCTGCAGACAACACTGGCATCCCAGTCAGTCCAGAGGTCAGCACAGATGGTACCCCAGAGTCCACCAAAGTACAGCTCCACACTGCTATCTTCAGCCAACCGCACAGCACCTTCCAGGCAAAGAAAAGAAAAAGAAAAAGAAAAAAAAAGACATTTCAGATGAGCAAGTCTTGGAATTCTGAGTGTAGCTGAGCTGAATTGGACCCGATTCCTCACATCCTGTTTCATGGTGCTTTCACAGACTTGCATGAAGTAGTGTAAGGGTGTGGTAGGCACACAGCACACCCATGCTTGTTGTAGCCTTCACTTTAACAAAGCTAACTTTGAACTTTGAAGTACTTTGAATAATACTTACACTGTTGAAGGAAGATATTTGTTGTCTCATTTATTATCCATTCTGCAAAATGCAGTTAAAGTAGGCAGATGAGGACAAACAGTGCACAAATCAGTGCACTGAGAGCTTCCTTGCATGCCTCAAAATAAGCAGCAGTCATTGTTTTGGCACTGCAAGGAATTCTAAAGGAAGCTTAGGACCCACTTTGCAACAGAAGATTTACAAATCTAATCACAGAAGATTTTTCTGTATTTGAGCTGCTACAATTACATGAGCAGAGTTCTGATATGAAGACTTAAGGAGTTGGAGTGGGTTGTTTTCCACATAACTTAAACTGCTTTCAAAATTACCTAAGTTAACCAAAAAAAAAAAAAAAAAAAAAAAAAAAAAGAATTCTCCATGTATGAGAATAAAAGTATCTATAAAAGACATGGCTATAGCAGCTTAAATCCACCCCCTAGTACATACAGATGTTTTATCCCCAAACAGGCTAGCTTTTAGTCCTAATTCTTTAGACAAACTGGGACACTTACTGTACTGTTCTTCTTTCACAGGTTATCCTAACTGCTACTTACTGGTCTGTGCAGCATCATTTCTGGCCTTAACCCCTTAAGACAGAGTAGCCCAGGCTCTGGCAGATAGGAAACAGTCTTACCTTGGTTACAGTCACAGTTAGCCCAGCTGATGGCCCCTGATGCAAGTCGGAAAAAGCACCAGGGTGTAGTTCCCCCATCTGGGTTTCTGCAGTGGTTGTGGTTCCCTAAGCCACGGTCTGGGTACTGCTGGACGTAATCAGGGAACTCTGCCCAGTTCAGGCACTCTGCCCCAGCCTCAGTGACAGCCAGCGAGCCATTGTAGTACCCAAGAGGTCCGATGCCACACCCACTGGACGCTGGATACAGAAAGAAAGCTGTTAGCTATACTTCAGGCATCACACATGGAGGATCAGACAACACCAGGCGTATGAGCTCATCTCCTGAACCACCTTTTATGTCTACAGTCTTGAAGCTCTTCTTGAGACCCCACCTGGAATACTGCATCCAGTTCTGGGACCCCCAGCACAAGAAGGACAATGAGCGGGTCCAGAGACAGGCTGAGAGAACTGGGGCTCTTCAGCCTGGAGAAGAGAAGGCACTGGGGGACCTTACAGCAGCCTTCCACTACATGAAGGAGGCCTACAGGAAATCTGGGGAGGGACTTTTCATAAGGGCGTGTAGTGATAGGACAAGGGGAAATAGCTTTAAGCTGGAAGAGGGTAGATTTAGACTAGATATCGGGAAGAAATTCTTCACTGTGATGGTGTGAGATCCTGGAACAGGTTGCCCAGAGAGGTTATAGATGCCCCTCTTTGGAAGTACTCAAGGCCAGGCTGGATGAGGCTTTGAGCAACTTTGTCTAGAAGGAGATGTCCCTGCCTATAGCAGGGGGGTTGGAACTCGATGGTCTTGAAAGTCCTTTCAACCCAAGCCATTCTATGATTCTATGATTATTTTCAGAGCAACTTAGGAAAAAAAAAAATGTTCTGAAGATAATGAATTGCTTGGATCTTTAAAATGTGTTAATTGGACTCAAACACAAACAGTTTGAACTGGTTCTCATTGCCAGTAATTTCAATAGACATATGCCCTTATTCTGGCTTGCTTTTGAGCCTGGCACAGACTCTTCCCCTTTTGTACCTCCTTTGGTACCTGAATATGATGCTCTTAAATTTGATTCTAAGATCTTCAAAAGATTAATTCCCTGTCTTAATTGATTGAGACAGAGAAGAGTGGAAAATTGGGTGTAATTTAATTCTGTAAATCAGAAAGATGGAAAATGGCATTGTCATTCACTATGTATGCCTTTATACACATTAGTGTATCACCTCACCTGTCTGAACTTTTCTTTCCTTAGGAAAGGAAAGGCAACTGGTTTCAAGGTAGAGCACAGATGCCAGTGTTCCAGGCCAGTGTCTATACAGAAATCTCATGTAAAGAAATCCCATCATTTAATTCAATATTGTCTTAATAGAGAAAAAAAAAAACCAAAACAACAACTTCTCCAGTCATGACTCTGAAATAAGAAATAGGGAAACTAGAACAAGATTCTGTGTGAGGGTGTGTTTTTTAAGAATGTATAAAATGGATAAACTAAAAAAAAAAAATGGATAACAGTTATAGCTCCATTCACAAAAAAATCAGAAAAATTCTTCTGCTATAAAGGCACGTATGATAAACAGCAGAGACAAATGACAGCTGAATGTTAGCTACAAGGTACAAAAGTGACAAGCAATTGCAGTTAGCTCAGTTAGATGCCTGGAAAACACACTGTGCTCTTTGGATTACCTGCGAGCTTAAGAGGGGAGAACACAAGAATTCAGAACTTACTGGGTGGAATGAGCATGCAAAAGAAGACTAGGGCAGAAATAGAGGTGAAAGAAAAAGAACGGGGGAGGAACAGAAAAATGCAAGAGTATAAGACATGATGAAGAGAAAGCAGTTTGGCTATGTTGCTAAAGGAGATAAACACTGAGGCATACAGGATAAAAGAAATGATGGAAAGAAGGGAAGAAAGCCAGAGAGCAGTGGTTCATCGTACCTGTGGTCTCAGATCACCACTGCAGGAAAGAATCTGCCTGATGACTGAATTAATAACTTCTTGTTCTTACCTGCACTCTGCAAATGGTTTTGGCTGGGCTGGGATCCCAGGAGAGCCTGGGAAAAGAAACAGAGCAAAAGCAGAGATATTATCCAATGAAATAAACACGGGCATGTCCTGAAAGCAGCTCGGCCTTTTGCTGCTTTAGGCAAACACACCCTGGTAACCAGCCTCTTCCCTGCTCTCTCCATTGCTCTTCTTCAAACCCAATCACAGCTCTGCCCACTGACAATAAAATGTATAATTGCTGGCCTGCAGAGATTTACCCTTGATCTAAGCACATAACAGGGCTCTGCTTGTTCTTTTCAAGGTTTCAGCCCCAATGCTCTCAGCAAATAAAATCTGACTCCAGAGTGAGATCTCTATGGAAAGAAAAGTCAGAAAAAAAAAATCACTGTTATTAGTAAGAAAAAATAATGAATAACTATTCACTCCCCCTCCATGCAAAGAATAAGCAATCCATGACCACAGGAGCAAACACAGCTATCTGATGGGATGATGCCCCTAGTGTTCCGTGTGAAGATAGTATTAAACATCCATGTACCAAGTGGAAAACAACTGAAGAAGAAAATCTAGCATGGCTTTTTGAGGATTTTGTTTTTAAATGTATGACAGTACAAGATTTCATATGAGACTATTATCCAAATCATATTAAGTAGCGAAGAACAAAGAATATGAAATAATGCCCTCATTCTAGCATCTTGTCCATCCCCAAAATTACATTTCCTCTTGTAGGCAGTGTTTTTGGTGGTTATAACTTGACTGCTGGTTGAGAGATAGGGATCTCCACTTCAACACACTGCATGGTACGCAGGCAGGTGCAAGATCTTCACAGATCCAGAATAGAAAGAAGAAACCACATGCTTTTGCTAGCTTCACGTAGTTTGTTTCATTTCTAAATGCAGCCAGATATATATGAACAAAGAGTGTTAATTCACAGAGCAGAGGTGCACAAATGAAGAGAATTAGCTACAGAAATGGTTCTGTTTTTCTTCAGAATGCACTAAATTTTGCTTCTCTCAGCCTCAGCTCTCCCTGAAAGACTTTCAGAATTAAACTGAACCCACTTCTGGAATAAGCAGGGATAGTCCCCATAGATACCAGATAAGAACGACACCTATTCATGGCTGATTTAATTTACAGATGAAAATTATATATAATGGTCAGCAGGTGTTCAGAGCTATGGCCAAGCTTCACCATCATCCTCTGGAAGTCAGAATATGACATTGCATACTGAAGATGAATTCCTGACACAGTTCAGAAAGAGCAAGTCAGAGCTCAGGTGCAAATGTACAAGAGGAAGCATAGATAAAACAGCAATTAACTGACAAACCCTCTTCAGCCAAAAATCCATCTGTCTGCATGTATCCAGCTGCTCTGTAAACCAACAATGCTGAAGGACGCACGTGAGGATCTCAAAGCACTTTGCAAAGAGAGGAAAGTGAGCTTAGTGACACTTTTGTGACTGCCCAAGATAACACACAGGACAGGTGAGTCACAACCCAAATCCCCTAACTTCTGCGTTCCAGTGTGCACTTATACACACTTGTGAGCTAACATGAGAAAGAGGGATGGGTTGCTACAATAACTGGCCATATGAGACACTGAGCATACTCTTCCTGGAGACTCAGCATAAATGACAGAACTCCAGTCCAAGTAATATGCTTCCCTTCTAACGAAAAGCTAGTTGCTGCCAGTTCCTGTAGCAGTTTCCAAAATCCCCCAGCAGCCACCATCAACACCACAAAATTTTAGTGCAACTGCCCATGCTGCAGTCGCTGCCCCAGCTCTATGGCTATAAATGGTATCTGCCCACAACAGCAATAGGGATCACCAGTCCATTGGTGAAGAAAAGAAACAAAGAATCTCTCATGCCAGGGTCACCGCAGTGCTTGAGTAACGTGGGGAACCTGAGCCAAAGCATCTGCAAGCCCTTGTGCATCCTGCTTTGTTTCCATTTATGAATTTCATATGCACAAGGAAATAAATCCCTCCCCAAGCCCCCAAGCCTTCCCAGAGACCACAGCTGCTTAGATACTTCAGAAAACATATTCAGTAAGAACACAATCCACTCACAATGAGGATATTAATATATGTATAAAAATCTAGGTGACTTTTTACAAATAGAAGAATATTAATTTTCTTACCTCCCTGCATCTGAGACATGGTAACAGACTCGAGAGCTCTACCAACAGCCTAAGTACTCTGGGGATCTTCATCCTTCCTGTATGAAGTGGGCAGCAGCTTCAAGCTTCACAGTCTCATTCTGCCGCTGGGCTCAGCTGCTGCCTCCTCTTCTCACTCTCCAGCTCAATTTCCCAGTGAGCTGGGTGCTTGCCACTTGGAGGGAGAGGGATGCCTCTTTCATTTCTGCGTGGGGAAAGGGATGAAAGGAATCAAAGTTCCCAACAGCATCTTATAATCTCACTTTCCCCGTCCCCTCCCCACCTCCTCTCCTTGATTCTTCTCTTCAGAAAGGGAAAAAGAAGGGGATAGAAGGGAGATCATGTCCCCAGAATCTATCACCTTTAAAACCAGCAGGAGGCAAGCGCAGACGGGCAGGGCGCAGCCCTCAGCCTGCTCCCGCACCTCCGCTGTCCCCTCCCTTTTGCTGGCTGTCCCAGCCCCTCTCTTGGCTCTAGGTACGCATCTCTCCTGACCGCCAGCATCCGCCTCCCCACCACCGTCCGCCCGGCAGCCCGGCCAGCCGCTCTCTCCTCTCCTGAAATTCCTTCTTTCCACAGCTGACTCTTCCTTCTCTCTCCTTTAGCACAAAAGATGTAGCAGTAAAAAGGATCTGGGGCTTCCTTCTGCAACAGCTCCAGCAGCAAAACTGAAAAAGGAAACGGCTTGTGCACGCACGCTCGCCAGAGATTATACTTGTTGGAAGGAATCTGGACTTTATCCTCCCACCGCTGCCTCCTTGATTAGCTGCTTGCAGCTTCCTGAGGTCACACTCTCCTTAGATTTGAACTCAGGTAAATGGGGCCTAGAAAACTACGTTAAGGAGCTTCCAGACTTCCAAGGAAAAATCAACTCTCAGGGGAGCGTTCCCACTTCTCAGCCCTGCATCTTGCTATCCGGGGTATTGCCTCTTTACCCGTCAAGTGTTTCTTTGACCTTGGGGCTGTAACATTTTCATTTGACTGGCTGGGGCAATTTTCAGAGTTGAAAAATTACTGTATTGCTATCAATTAATCCTTAAGCATTTTGGTGGGCTGTTTCTGTTTTTTTGTTTTGTTTTGTTTGTTTTTAAGCTAGTTCATTTTGAATTTACTGCTCCTTTACAAAAAATACAGCAAACAATTTAAACATTAATCAGACCTAAGGAGGAGACTTGGTCAATTTCAAATTGTTTAATTTTGGAAATTTCTCACATTTCCTACACTGCTCTGCAGCTCAGTCTAATGAGCATTTACTACATTTATATTCTGATTATGGAGGGATTAACCCTTAGCATCCTGCAGCATGAACTAGTCACCTTAAGAAATGAGCTCATTCCTGGCCAAGCTTGCTGAGAAGCATTTTCAAAGAGACTTTCAGCATAAAAACAAGAAACAGGCTGATACAAATCCAATGGCTTGACAAAAAGCCTTTTTTTCCTTTCTCACTTATTGCCCATTAGTCACTTCACATGACAGCTTTGTGTTGCCTCATCTTTAGTCACTCATCAAATGCAATGAAATTCCACTACATCTGGATCCTTTACAGGAGTCACTAAGTGGTAGGAGGGAGCGGTTTGAGTGGATTCGTACCACACTGCATTCTGGACGTGATGGATTTGGCCAAGAATTACACTCAGTTAATTAGAAGCAAATCTCCTATATCCCTGTAGCACAGAAAGCAGATGATCAGGCCAGGTGGACATGGAAATAGCTTAGAAGCTACAGCATTCTCTAACTCTCACGTGGCACAGGCAAAAAGGAGCAAAACAAAAAGCAAAGATGGAAATGTGTTGGAATTTTCTAATCACTTACTCTAGTGAAAACATAAGGAAAGAATGTACTGGAAACAATAACAGAAAAACCACTAACATTCAGAGGACTCTACCCCTGACTGAGGACTACAGATGTTGTTGATGCTCCTTCTTAACTCCTAAGATGCTCACCTACTCAACTCTTTAGGACTAGAAAAGAACAGCTCAATTCAACCTCTATTTGATATGTACTGGTAGCGTTTACAGCCTCTAGCAAAAGTCTGTACTGGATTTCTCTCACAGTAGCTTCCCTCTCTTACGTCAAGGCTTTCCCAGGTATTGTAAAATGATTTACTGAAAAGGAAAACACAGAGCATCAAAAGCAACAGCAGCTCAAATTTGGGATTCAGCTTCTTGATGGAAGCCAAGATATATTTGCAACAGTTTTTGTTGTCTTTGCAACAGTCTCCTCTGTGGCAAGTCTGCAATTACTTCCTACTTGCTAAGACCTCCCCCTGGTTTTTGGGCACATGGAAGGACATTTCCCTGAGACGTTCAAAAAGAGCTTCTCTTACTATATTTTTCTCTTCTTCCTTACCCATTTGCTCATATTCTGCTGCAATTCAAAGATCAAGAGTTGCCTACGCCAAAGGATTTTTGCTACTTACCATAGTATTACTGGTAGTTATTCTGGCAACAGCCCCTCTTGGACTGTTTCGGCTTAAACAGCTTCCAAGATATCACAAGCTAAATTAGCCTTGTCTGTGTGTTTCAGATTGACTAAGAAATTACTCCAATATAACTACAGCACTAGAAACATGTTTTAAGTTATCTCTAGATACATGACATATTTAGAACTTCCCTGCGTGTGCTTATTCTTATTATTATGAAACAACTGTAATTATCCAGGTCCACTATTTAACACATATTACCTCCTCACCCTGATATAAACGTAGTTGTACAATAATAACAGTCTACAATTCCCAACAGAGTCTCTCTCTGTCCTATTTTTTTCCAGATTATTCTGTATAGACACTTACAAACCAAAAGTACGGCCTTCTAAAATAAGCTTGCTTCTCAGGAATTAAACTTACTACACCTGAACTGGCAGGACTACTTTTCTTTTAAACAAAACAAACAAAATAGTTGCCAGTAGCCATGCCTTCCCATTAAAAGATATATCTCCATCTCTCTAGGCTAAGAAGTAAGGAAGTAACTCTGCTCATCACATTCAGAACAAGAAAGATCCACGTCAGTGCCAAGACGGACTTGGAGCCAAGAACTAGACCTTAGTGCTTTTGCTATTCTCTTAGCTCCGTTTCCTCAGCAGAGAATGCAGGACAATGTATTAGCTGTCAGCTTCTAATCTCTTAACTATAAGTCCTTCAGAAGGGGTGGTCCTTTGCTTTCTCATGTGACCATTATGATCTGTGTTTAGGGAGGTTCTTTTTGGAGCCAGGAGTTGGACTCCATGATCCTTATGGGCCCTGTCCAACTCAGGAAATATTCTGTGATTCTGTGTTTTTATCAAGAAAGTCACCTACATGCAGATGCTACAGGCCAGCCTTTTATTTATGCACCTACTGAATGCTTGTTGGTAGCCTATAGAGATTGCTAATCTTGATCAGCTTTGTTTGCAGGCTACTAATAACAAAAGCACAGTAAATCTGTTTCAAATTGTTAACTAACTTAATTGCAGATTGGAAAAATGTTTACAAATAGTAAAGGAACAACTCTGTCCCTCTAGGGGCATCAAGTATGCAGATGTTGAAGGTTATCTACCAGAGAAACTAACAGATGGCTCATTTCCAAGAGGAGTATTAGGGAGCAAAGGGGTGCTAAAAAAAATTTGGGACAATCACAGCTGTTTTGGAAATCTAAATAAACAAAGAAAGTCAATAAAGCTCCCTCTGGGAGCCTAGAAGCTACACGAGCTAAAAAGAAGCAGAGAGTGGTATTAAACCTTCTTTTTTAACCTCTTTTAATGTTAGTCAAAATGACTAACCACATGGATGAAATGTAAGGTATCTCTTTATATCTAAGTATTTGTTAATAATGTCTGAGAATTTCCTACCCTTAGGTAGATACACTGAAGTCTGAAGTTCAGGAAAATATAGAAAAATCAGTGCTTCCTCCATAAAAGGTCTTCAGCGAAAGCCTAAGAAGAAAGGTAGTTAACAGCAATCACACACAGTGCTGGTAAAACACTCAAGCTATAGGGTGCATGAACAAGATCAAGGAATTCCAGCAGATTTGCTTAAATCCTATAAATCCTGCTTAGGAGAGTAGAACATCTAGTCCGCTTTGTGTAATTCTTTCCCCATCATGCAGTCACATACAGATCTCTGCAGCAATGTTCTTATACCGTGAGCTCAACACCAGCAGAAACAGAACCCAGCCTTCTTTTGTACCCCAACAACAGTACCGTGGAGTGGCAAAAGCCCTGAACTCACAAAGGACATTGCCATCTATATATGAACTAGTAATGGAATGACCCCCCAGTATGAATTACATCATGGAACACGACATAAGCTTAACGTGAGATGAGGAAACTGCAGCAACTCAAATTGCCAAGGACAATCAGTACTGGGAGGCCTTTTTGATTACAGCATGGGATTCCCAACCAAAAGTGCAGCTAGAGTACTTCTAAAAGAAATACTGTAAAACTTTCAGAGTATACTGTATACTTTTCAGAGTATATCTGAAAAACATTCTCTTTCCTCCGTTCCATATCCAAACAAACACAGTCCTTAAAATTGTCAGGAAAAACAATAACTGAACTCAGGAAGCTCTCTATGAAGTAGTTAAGATCCAAGAATAAGCTGTCTACATTCATGAGAACTGAGAAGAATTTCAAAAGTAAAAATACAACAAAGTTGTTATTCTCTTGCAATCTTTTACACAATGACATCCTTCAAAGACTCTAGAATGATATATTTAGCACAGCACAGCTCCCAGCGTAAGAGCTGCAAAGCTATGTTTGATATTGTAAATTTTAATAAAAGAAAACTCATCAATATAAGAGAATGTAGAATTCATTCAGTTCCTTACACCCAGCTTAGCTCACCTCTGTCAGAAAAAAAGAATAAGCAAAGGTGCCCACGGAGGGCATCTTTTGAATTGGAAATGCAAAACGTTACATACAGAAGCGTGTTCCCAAACTCAGGTGCAAACAGAATATTCTTACTCATCCCAGCTCCCATCTCTGTAGGACTCCTTCATGCCACAATAGCAACAGTAGAATAAGTTACCTTGTGGGATAACTCAATGAGCATTTAAATAAACTATATGATCTTACACAGTCACAGTCTGCAAGTACCACTCTTTATCTTGATCTTTGCTTTGTCTTTATGCTCCAAAGACTTAGTGACATATATGATTATATTGTTAGTTCTCTGCAGAACTGCACTTTTCTTGCTATATATTTTAACCAGTTAGGTACTGGTCCTAAAACAGGAACCTACCTGCAGTTCTGTGGTACTCTACTGAAAGTTAACAAATCAAAACTAACTGTTCATCACACAGTTTCAGTACCACTACTTTCTTGAACTTTCTTTCCACCTTTTTTTTTTTTGTTTAACTTAAACAATGGAACATTCTGCTGTAGAATCTGATTCACCCATGCCAAACAACAGCCTTGCATCATTTTATCTTTGTACAGGCAACCTAATTATCTGCCATGACACCACACTCTTCTCACCTGCAAATCAGGGGGTTTAAAATCCTTCCCAATGCACTGTGCTTTATCAAAGTATTTTGCTGGAAATTTCTTCCTCATTCCACAGACTTCTTGCACATGAACAAGAATTCTAAAAATGTCAAGAGGAACCAAGTTGTGTATACATACATGCAGGGGTACGAGTCATTAAATTATTATCAATTTTAAGTTGGCTCAGTGTCTGGGTCTGAACACTTATTGACAGCAGCTCATAAGTTAAGCAGAAAGATTATAAACAAAGAAAAGTCACCCTTAGCTTAGAAAACAGGTTTACACACATTCCCAGAAGATTTTATTTCACGGTGAGTACATTACTCCACACAGTGGCTGGTTGGACAATTCACTGCAAAGATCCTAAGAGCACAAGATCCAAGAACCTCATGAACAAACTCAGCCAACAATCAAGATGCAATTTTTTTTTTTCCACTCTGGAAATAAAATATGAAGTCGTAATCCACCCAGCAGTGTTTACAGACAGACATCACTAGACATTAAACATTCATAAAACCCCTTTTTCATTTATTTTCTGAAAACGCCAACTTTAACTGCTTGTCCACAGTCCCTTTAGCAAAGCACATTACACATAACGTGTAATATTAGGAAACCTCCTCAGCAGGCTGTTCACTTTGCTTGAAGGCATGTTTCCCTTGAGTGACAGAGCGTACTCGTCCTTTTTTTCCTTGCGCTCCTTCTGAAACAGAGAAAGAAAACTAAGAATATTACCTGTTTTTTTGTTGAATTGGCTCTGTAAAGACTAATAATAATTCTACTGAAATGCTGATCTGAAAAGAATGCTGTTTCTTCAAGCAACATTCATAATAGCAGTTGGCTAAATAGTCGCAAGGCGTCTAAGAACTGCACTAGGCTTCTTTAAATGGTGAAATCAATGAGACAGACATGTGAGGATGATCTCTCCACATTTTCACTTAGCAATATTATAAGCCTTTAAACAAATATAATACAAATTTGTTTCGTTTTTATGTTCTTTTTTTAAATTGCTTTCATTGTAATCTACCAAATAAAGCATGGACAGTTTCTCATTTATGCGTCAAACGCAACAGTAAAAAGATACTTTATTAAATGACGATACTATTACTAAAAAGACTGAAAATCTGCCAACAGTTCAAGGACAAGTTCAGTACATGTACCTACCTTTAGACAGTTTTTGAAACTGACTTCATTTCAAACTTATTGCATGAGGTGAAAACTCAATATGGCTTTAGTAAATAAATCACAGCTTTATGTCACAGCTCTAAATTGTACTCTCCTTCATTCAGAACTTTCATGACATATGGAGAAGAGCATGTCTACTGCTGCTGAAACTTTAGAGATTAAAAACTGGAGCAAATTAAGAGAAATGGTCTAGGTTAGAATTGACTAACAGCAACAAAGCTCTACTTTTAGAATGTGAACACCAAAAGCACTACATGTGATTAGTGGTTCAGGTCTAATTATAACATACAAGACACCTGGTCCCTTCCCACATTTCTTTACTGAAATTCTAAATACAAACAGAAGGGACTGTGTACCTGATGTACATCACCCTGAATTTCTCAAAGCACAAATCAAATTGTTCACAGAACACTATTATGTTGGCACACAGAAAATGACTGAAGGTTTCTCCGCCTTCCCTACTATTGGAATTTAAGAACACAAAAGAGATTTTCATTACTTCTGCCTTTGCCACGCAGTCATAGAACGTCTGGATCTCCTCAGCACAAGCTTTATCATTGAAGTCATTCTGTTTCCAGCAGGCCATCATTACTGACATCTCTGTAAGACAGGTTGCCTCTAGAAGGGAAAGACACGACTATAAAAGCTGAAGTATCTGAGATTTCATGCCAACAGCCTCCACAGCACACAGAGTTCCCAACAGAATTTTAAGATGGTATGGAGGCACGTGAGAAGGAACAACAGAGAGGAGGACATTGTCACTGCTTGGTTTAGAGAAGAAAACTCCTACCAGAAGGCTTTGCCCCATCAGAGCCATCTGGTTGTTACATTTTGATATAGCATTTACCTTAAGAATTTACACAAAGATTACCATAAAATATAGATTTAGGGCTAAAGTACGGAAAAATGCGCTTTTTAGAAGAACTCACACACTAATTACACAGCACAAATTAGGTCCCCTTGCCTGCTGGATGCCTCTGGTCTCATCCCACGTGCAAAGGCGCTGCTAATTACTACCAATTACTGCAGACGTTTTCTTTCGCTGTGTGTTTGTTTTTGGTTTTTTTTTTTCCCCTCCACATTTTCCGTGTACTCAGCAAACACCTCCTTGTTGTACAGCAAAATTCAGGAGGTCCCCAGCAGCTCCGTTCAGAACACAAGGTTCTTCCGAGCACGCGCTTGTCCTTGCCGTCACCGCCACGGCCACTCCGCAGCGCGAGACCCCACGGGGCGACGCGGCAGCTCTGAGGGGCGAGGCGGGAAAGTCCACCGCCGGGGGTCAACCTCACGGAGCCTCGGGACGCTTCCATCCCGACCGACGGCCCGGTATCGGCAACTCACCTCCCGCCAGCTCTCGGCGGTTCGCCACCTTGTTGGCCAGCACCAGCGGCCGGGTGGGGCGGATGGCCGGCGGCCGCTTCCTCTGCCGCCACTGCCCGGAGATCCATCGGCTCACCCAGGCCGGGTAAACGGGCGCCGCCATGCTCTTTGCGACAGGCCGTAGGGCGAGCCGGCCCGGGCGCCGCTCACGTGACCCTCCCGCGAGCACGGCAGAGCCCAGCAGGAGCGTGCCGCCCTACAGCCGGCCGGCTGAGCTGCAACCTCCGCCTCGCAGCGCCATTCTGCTTCCCAGTCTGTGAAACTTAATATTTCACACAAATACCCGAGCAGTCTTTGACCTACTCAGGGAGATGAGACACTGGGCTTCTCGTTATCCTGGTTTAAACGAAACCACACCAACGCCAGAAAGTTCTCTGTGCCATTAACAGATTTTGCTGCAGCTGTATATATATACATACATACATATACACATATATGTATGTATATATTGAATATATTCTGGCTTATCTGACCATAATTGTGTTATTTTTAAGCCAATATTTTCTTACAGTCCAATTTAAAAATAGGAGAAAACACATTCAAGTAAATAAAAGATTTCTTATGGTCCTCTTTTAGGAAAAATAAAACCCCATCTCCTTTGACACAGTCTGACTGTCAGTTCTGAAGCAATTCGCTAAGGGATGTTTCTCTGCTTCCATGCTTTTTGGTGGGACAGAAAACAGCCATCTCCCTAGCTCGTGTGGCAGAGAACTACAGGCAGATGCCTCCAAATGTGATTGGGGGCTCACAGCCCAACACTGCAGTTCAACACGCACAGGTGACACTTCAGAACAGCAGCCCCTGCGAGGTTCAGCTGCTCGTGTTTTTGCCTCCCTTGCTTACATCTCCGATTGCCATTTTTCTCTGCCGCATTTGACTGCTGCAATTACTAAGCCAGCTGAGAAACTGAACTGCAGTCATTGTAAATCACACTTGCTTTTTACAAATTACATTAGCTAATGGTGGCAGCACCTTCAGGTACCTTCACCTTCAAAAGCTAATCTCTCTTAAACAATTCCAAGAAAAATGGAGGGGGGGCTGCAGAAGAAAAAGGCAAACTACACAAGGAGAATTTTAATACCTTCCTGCCCCAGCTATTGCTCTCTGCATTATAAACTACTTTTTTCTCTTGGCATTCAGCCTCAGATTGGAGCATCTGCCTATGAAATTCCCAAGCAGACAGAATAATGTACGTGATGGCGTCTGCACACACTATTCAACATATTAGAAGCAAGGAACAAGCTTTTGTTTTAATGGAGAATGTGCAACTACAGGATAGGTTTGTTACTCAATAGCTGAGTCTGCCTGTAGCCTGTGTTTTGTACAAAAGGATGGGGCAGAAGTTCTGATTTTTCAGGGGAAGTCAGAAGCCCAGTTCCCTCAACAAACCCCACAGACGTCTCACTATGAATTCTGAACACACATCGATAAAGAGCACATGAAATTCAAACTGCACTTCTAACTTCTTTTTTAAATGAATACCATTAAAAGTTAAATCCTACCATGCGTTTCAGCTGTGTTCAGTGTCAAAACCAAAATCAGCCAGAGATGAACTATCACCACTAGAACTGGAAAAGAAACCTATCACAAATGGAACAACAGCCAGTTACAATGCTGCAATAAATGCTACGCTGTAATTATGTTCAATGCTAAAAATGCTGCAATAAGATTCATCCTTAAAATGAGATTCCTGTATTAAATATCTTCTTAAGAGATAACAAATTATACCATGGATCTTTCTCTTTCTTGAGACCATCTAAAACTTCCAGGTACTTTCCAAAAGACAATTACAAATCAGATGTACTGGAAGAAATGAATAGAGTCGACAATGTCTTTCTGAACTGCTTGGATCCAGCTTTTCTCAAGTAAATTCTAACATATTCACCCAACTTTATCCTGAGTGCCCTAATTCTTCCCATACAACCTCACAATGCTCTTGCCTCTATTTATTCTCAGCTGTCTCACCCTGATCTCCTTAACCTCAATGTTAGCTGTCCTAGGGCGTATCAATTTAATTGGAGATGCCTTAAAAGACATTCCCACTTTAACTAGCAGTACAGTTAACCATTTTGTGAACATTAGAATCAGTTCAGACTTACTCCCCTCTGCTGGACACTGTGCTTGGATGGTAGAAGCACTTAGTGCATTCATGAGCACAAAGTCAGAGGCAATTTCTTAGGTCACTGTCCTAACATTACAGTGCTAGCCTACCTTATCCTGAGCTATCTTAACCGTATCAGCCTCCCTGAATTATTCTGTTTACCTAAATAGATCTGAGCTGCCATCCCTAATCCCTAATTCTCAGACCTATTCAATTTCAGTCCATTCTACGACAAATTACCTGATGTCTCCTTACTATTCAGAGATGTTTCTAAACATCGTGGTCTGTTTTGATCCATTCCAAGATCCCCCAGATCATCTTTAGCTGAGCTGCTTCAGCATCAGATGAGTCTTTTCTGCAGGAAGAGCACATAGAATACAAATTAAGATGCCAGACCCATCAGGGCTCCAGAACAAACCCTGCAGTTCCACTCCTCTCCACTCTTCCTAATCCATCTGCAAGGCCACGTATCTCTCGCTGCCAGCTTAGAGACACTGAATCATAAGAGAAGTGCACTCTGTTAAAACTTGACACAGGCTTTGGCTCAGCTGGTCCTATCACTAAAAGGATTTTGTCTCTGATTAATTTTGACTTGTCAGTAGAGGTCTCTGGGCAGAATGAAGGAGGGTACCTTCCTGAATGTTTCTGATTAATGCTTCTTAGGAGGTGCCTGGAAATCTATCAACAATCTTAATTAAATTCAACCAAATAGATGACAACTAATTATTCAGGGAGTGGCTCTTTTGAGACGATAGGCGAAGCGTGAGTCTGCAAAGATGTTACGGGGGGCAGATGGCCACTTGTCTAACATAGCAAAGCCTGTTTAAACAGTGATGTCCCTGACAGTGTTCCAATTCAATTTATACTCCTTCCAGCCCTGCAGGAGTTATTTTTTCCTTCACCACCTATTGTTTGCCAAAACAGTTAAAACTACCCTCTGTCAAGGTGTTACAGAACTTTTGCTGTGATTCTCCAGATGCTGCTCTTTGCAGATAGAAAGACTCTCTTTCCTTTTTCTCCTCAAACACATCCACTGTCACCTGGTTCTTCAAGTGTTTCATTCTACTTATCATTACAGACCCAGAGATCATTAGCTCTGTTTTAGAATTCTTAACTGGAAATTACTACAGTGACAGAAATAAAAACACTTTCTCTTTTTGTTTGCAAAAATCAGTATTTGGTATCAAATCAGTATTCTCCACTGAGGCTATTTTATTAGAAATTGCAGTCCTTCTGAAAGAACAGAAAACACAGATTACCAGTTTAACAAATAAAATACCCAGCTTCTTCCTGAAAAAATCAAGCAGCACCCGCTACCAGTTTTGGCAGGAGAAAGATAACTTCATCTTGTCCAACACAATGAAATGGATTGCTGGATTTGTAACCTTCAGTCAGACATTTCTCTCCCTCACCTCTCAGGGACCATAAATTATCCCAATTTTTCAAGTCAATTCTGGGACGCAGCATTAATAGAATCTACTACGGTTTCATATATACACAGTTATGAGGACAAGGTATCTATTTTTAGAACATTAATGCTAATGAATAAAGCTGTCTTGACAGCTCTGAAATCCTCCCTCTAGTCACACAGTAAACAGGAAAATGCATGACAAGCAGGGAAGTGACTCAGTCTGGCTAGTAGAGGACTGCCAAAGGGTGCACACGGGTAATTTCTTTATCACTTTAGTATTTGATATCGTTTGCTAAAATTCCCAAATAGGCTCGGTTGTGGTTTTGTGATTATGGGCACCTGTGCACTAAGAACGGGGTTAACAAAAGATGGCTGTATACAGTGTTTGTGATAAGTATCATGTAAACCCTTCCAACACTCACAACATTCAGCCTCTATTTAGCTGATTTAGATATAAAGCAGAGAAGTAAGAAATCCACTGCCAAGAAACCTACACAAACAGATACCTTTCTCCAAAGTATGAATAACTGCTGCAGTGACCTTCCTCCTTGCCTGCTTTCATGTATTTGCATTAGTAGAAAGACAACTAGGATTGTAAATTGAATTCACTTTGGATAACGTTGGCAGTAGACTTTGGACATTAAAGAGCAATCCTCTCAAAATGAATTACTGTCTAAATTAATCTCAAATTCTTTATTCCTGGTAGAAGAACTCAGCCTTGAAGACACCCATTCTCAGAAAGAATACTTTGACAAGACAGGAGGAAAATAAAAGCGGAATAAATTACATCAAAAAGCATATAAAAAATAGACTATCAGTTATAAATATATATATATCCCTTATATATCAGCTATAAGGGAGTGTTTGTAGAGCGATGGGTATTCTTGTTCCAGAGCTGGTGTAAGCTACAAGCAAATTGGACAGTGAGAAGATGCATATGCCCTTCAAAGCTTTAAGACCCAGCTTCTCCTCCGAACAGTTGAAGAAGATGAAAGCAAAATGTTGGTGAGGGTCAACATTTTTCTGTTCACAGGACTGGATGTTATCAAGGTCAGCCAGCAGCCTGGAACAGAACTACAATCACAACTCTTCAGCCAGCTGGGAAGATAACTACTCCTCCTGCCCCTGAGGAGCTTGCCTGGTAGCTACAGAACTTCATACCACACACTGGAACAACCATTTCAGCCCTAGCACAATGTACACAACAAGTGAAACAGATACAGTGTATTGACGTACATAAGCACACCGATTACAAAGCAGATGCATTAATTGTGACATACAGGAGAAGATACAGGGAGCACAATCTAACACTGCAGGTACAAGAGAAACTCTGGTATCTGAAGATACAAGAGAAACACAAGGTTTGGGGTGAATATCTTGGCTTCACTCTGTGCAGAGTGATACCTGGTACTCATTACCTTTTGAGAAACTCATCACTTGTGAGACTGAAAAAAAACACAGCTGTATCTAGGAAGACACTAAGAGCTTGGAAGAGAGAGCTATTGAAACTGCCTTAGCTAACAAACTGAAAGTTGTATTTTGAAAACTTTAGAAAAAAACCACAAAGAATATTTGTGATAAAGTTAGTTTCATACCTGTGCTACCTTCTCACCCATGTTAATAAAGGATATGGTGATCAAGAAGTCAAAAATACTCATATTTGGCAACAGTCATGAAACTCAAACACCCTTTTGTACTATATATACGCAGGGAAAAAAACACAAACTTGTTGTACTGGCGGATGTAATATACTGAGTAAAGATAAAAAATAATGGTGAAGGAATGCTTGGTTTCAAACTAGAAAATCCATACAGAGGGTCCTAAAGATCAAATTTTTACTAGCTATTCTTAAGTTTGTACCACCAGATCTTCAATTCTACTGTCATTTGACAAAGATAAGCTCATTTTGCTGTGCAGAAAGGTGAAGTGGGGAGTTAGGACCTCACTAATCAAGAATTAAGCAAGTGCTATGACACACGTGCTCACATTGGTACTTACTGATTATTACTGCAAGGACAATACATAATGTATATCATGTCCAATTTTGGTAATGGTAGATAAATTATTAAAAAATAATAAAATACCTAGGCTTGGCAATACATCCCCCACTTCTAGAAATTCTACTTAAATTAAAGAATAAAATAGCAAAAAGCAGAATGTGCTAGCATGTGGACCTTACTTTTACATTTAGTATTAGAAGCAAACTCAGAATTTCTCCTGCCTACCCCAACAAAACTTGGAAAGGTTTTTGAAATACAGCTAATTAAGAAGACAGTCAATGAGGACCAACTGCTTTTCTATACAGATACATGAAATGAAGAGAATCTCAAGTAACTGAAGAAATTAATTCAGACAATTTATTTAAATCTCTTTTAGCAGTTCAGTAGAAGTTCATATTCCAAGCTAAAGCAGTCTTAGTTTTCTTTATTTACTTCTCAAGCACACTGTGATCACTTCAATTCTGAATATACAGATCTATATCTTAATCTGAATTGAATAATCCACTTGAAAAAATAATTCAGATACATCCACCTAATCATCCCTGTAGCCCAAATATGTGGAAAGAAAGGAATGTATACTGGTGAACGCATTTTAGCTGAAGAGCCACTTGTTACTTTATTACAGGAGAAAAAAAAAAGACTTGTACAAAAAGTTAGGTGAGATCAGTGTGTTGCATATGCATTTTCCATACCCACAAGAATGCAGAGATTAATTGCGAGTCTTTGTTCACAATGCCCGGATTTTTACACTACAGCATTACTGTATCACCTCAGAAACAAACACTGAGATGAGTGTCATCACCTATAAGAATATTATAGCCATAATATACCCAGAATATTATGAATTGGAATTTGAGAAGAAATGAGACTACCTGATCCATACGCATCTTAACAATAGATGACGACTTATCAGATCGTGGATTCAGTCCTGTTCCCAAACTGTCGTAATAGGCTTCTGGCTTGTCCCAGCAACACCTGGACTGCCTTACAAAACGAAATCACCTCAAAGATCTAATGATCTACCTTTGGCATAGATACATCCTCGCTATTTATCCAGTAGTTATTTCCAAGGAGAGAGGAGAAGTGAGAAATAGCATCAGACTGTTAGAAACATCACTGAAGTGTGTGGCCTGTGCATTTAAACCCCTCAGACAAGAAAAACAAGTCTCCTTCCAATCCAAGATAAATTATTTCAGGAAGGTACCAGCAAGGCAGGTGATGGCACATTTTATTTATCTATTAAGAGATACAGGTTATGCAGCAAAGATGATTTATATGTGATCACTTACTTTGAGGAACTCCAGTCACAGACCAGGATCCTACTGCATTAAGATTAGGTACAGATACAAAGCCAACTCTGTGTTCCCCATTCTGATCATCCATCTCAGCACAAAAAGACTGCAAGGTTCATCTCCAAACTAGAGGAAGCACTGGAAAAGCACCACCATTAAAATGTATTTGTCTTTGCAGAAAGATGCAGATACTCGAGAAGAACAAATCAAAGGCCTTTGAATCTCACTGAGAAATCAATCAGTCAAGATTATTGTTGGATTTTAAGGTTTTACAGAAACTTAAAAGAAACAAAGCTGCTCGTTCTACCCTGGTTCTGCACAATACCAGGCAATACTCTGTTGTTAAATATCTGGTTCAAAGTTGTGAATCCAACAATCTAGACTCTTGTCCCATTTGTATGTGTCACCTGGAAAGTTAGCGTAAGAGAAAAATGAGGCAGAGTAAGTGAGCTGCCTATAGCTGTTCAGTTATCCTGAGAAGGAGGAACGTTTGAGGCACGTTTACTTGGAGAGAAGAGACTTTATTGCTGCAATTTCGTAAGGCACAACTGCTCTCCACACACATAAGTCTTCTTCAGAATATATTCACTGGAAAAGCTATTTGTTAATATCAGGTAAAAGTATAACTTAATGAGGAGAGCATGTGGTAAAATATAAAAAAGCAAGTGTTTTGAATATAAAAAAAGTTCCTGAAATAACTTAGGGCATTTGAGCAGAGTCTGAAATACATTCCTTTGAAATCAAGGAAGCCACAGGGAAGCAATACCAAATGCAAAATTCCTCTTCTGCTCCCCCTGCATGTCAGGAGGAGCTTCACACCACAGAGCTGAAATTCAGATACAAGATTCAGTTGCTAACATCTCCACAGCTGAAATCACAGCAGAGGATCACTCACTTCATGCACCAGAAAAACAGTCTGCAAGAGTTTCTTCTATTTGAAGGCAAATATCTGGAGAGAAGTAAGAATTCTCAGTCACAACTTTCAATGCAATTTCCAAACCAAGGGATGGATCAGTGTTGCCTGGTCCTCTTGAGAAAAATCTCTTGCATATAGTCCCAAAATCTTCCCTGATGTGACTCATTGTGATGAATCATAGCAGTGAGGGCCTCACCCTGATCAAGGCTTTGCCAATAGTCCTGAAGCCACATCTCTTTCCAACTGAAACAAATGAAGAAAAAAAAGAGACATCATTTAAAAAAACAAAAACAAAAACAACACAAACGTGTCTGAGCTCTAACAGCATTAATATTTGTTTTTCCCTTTCATCTAAGAGGAAAACAGTTCCAGGGATGGTCATGACAATGTATGCTGTTTCTGTGCCGTTGTGCTCCAACCCACCTGAAGTAACTTGCTATGAAAATTCTCCATGGAAAGCAAGCTTGTTATTACCTTCAGACCACTTTAGAAATATCAGCATGTGAATAGCATTAGTCAGAGAGACTAAATCATGAACTGTTAGGAATAAAACCTGCTATTAAAATAAAATCCTGTAGTCCTCATACAACTTTAAGAGTAGCCTTCCATGGCCAGAATGTGTGCTACAGATATCAAGGTATCAATCTTTTCAGACAAGCCATTAAATACGTACAGAATTCCTGTTAGTTGGAACAGGGAATGCATGACAAGAGAGAGCAATGCTGACATCCCCCAGCTGGCTCTACTCTTTTCCTCCAGACCATTTTCAGTGCACCCATTCTCAACCTTCTTACTGCACACACAGCACACCAATTCCCTTCCCATTCACATTAAGGCAGACTACATCTCTCATTTCTGTTGTATTGAGGTGTGGCAACAATTTGTTCAGCTAGTAACTACTACCCTTCTTTCCTGACAGACTGATTACCTCTTTTGTACTACAGCTGCTACCCAGCCCCGTCAAATCAGCACAAATTCTGTACAGACCAAATGTGAGGCTCTTTTTAATCTGCTCCCATGAGCGCTTCTCCCTCGCAGACAGAAGCGCAGTACTTCGACATTCACTCTCGACATCATACATTAAAGCCAGCATGACTGCATTGCCCAGAAACAGATCTCAGCCCCTATTCCAGGAAAAGCATATGAAATGCAGAACACGTTACAAGCACTTTCATTCTGAAGCAGCATAAAACTTGTATTCCATGAGAATTTGGTTTTTGTAGTTAACAGAATCATCTGTGGTGGGACATTTCTGCTCAAAATTAACCTGTTAGCGTTGATTACAATATGAAGGATCACAGAGGCTTACTTTTGCATACAAAAACATCTGCCTACAGGTTCCTTGGTAAAATAAAGCACTTGGACACACTGTGAGACCGCTCTGCTTCACCACTCAACTCCTTAACCTTTGCTCAAGGAGCGCCAATGTGAGTTACATGTTTTTTGCAGCACTGAGTGAGGGCACCCATTAGTGAGTACCCTCACCCAGGCACAAGGCCAAGAGGCAGTGGGCAACAGAAAGTGACTCTTCTGTGGCTGAATTCTATCACAACACTAAGAGAAATCCCAGTATCCAAACAAATGTTTTGTCAAGCACGTTAAACAAGAATGCTTTTGTATTTCTCTTTTCATACCATTCTTACTGTTCCCTACTGTTTTTGAAGAAACAAGATGCACTCTCATTCTATAACTTGGACAAAAACTGGCACACCAGGATGAACACAGTTGAAGAAACCCCCTGAAACTACCAACTACATACACCTGGAATGTTACTACCACAAGCTAAGGATCCACCTTTAATCCTGGCTGGTTACACACTTCTACTGCAAGAAATACCTTACACTGTATGTGTGGCAAATCTGATACGCTTCTCAACTGTTTTTCTTGGTCCTAAATAAACTGTGACATCGCCATAAAATGAAAGTAGTAAAACCATGACAATTTCAAAACCTTATTGAAGACACACTGGCTTTTCTTTTCTTGAAAAGATCAAAGGAAAAAAAAATATATATATATATATATATATATATATAAATAAATATATGTATTAACATATATTTATATATTAACATACATATATGTATATATGTAACATATATATATATATATATATATATATATATATATATACCCCACACACACACACACAACCACAGATTAAAACTGTTCAGGTGACTGGAAAGGTATTATAACACAGCCTTCTTGTATTTATCCTGTTAAAACCCCACTTCCTATTTGGGAAATGACTTTATGTTGTGCAAATAAACAAAACATTTCTCTTCACAAAGGTGAGAGAACTGAGACACCACAATGCAGTGCAAGAATAATTGTAGATTCCAGTTCCTACCAAACATGTTTTCATCACGAGGAGCACTGCAACTCCTGTCTTCTGCACAAAGCAGACTGGAGTTCTATACAGTACACTATATGGTGACTGTATACTATACAGTGACTGACTTCATCCCCACACTCAGAGCTAAAGGACAGCAAAACAAAGATTCAGTGATGTGCTCTGGCTACAAACACTTGTTAGAGATATTCAGTCAACTCAGCACATTTGTCAGTACAAAAAACGGGCACCTGTGAATAAGATTTAGAGTACACACGTGCACAGCATAACCATGTAATAGGATTCTAACTCCACAATACTGAGACTTGATCTGGGTCTGTTGTTTGGTGTTCCCGAAGCTGCCAGAGCCCACAGAACATTCACAGTCAGACCTTCTATGTTGCATACCTTTTGCCATTTATATCCCTGCATTGTTTTTCCACAATGGTGTTTTGTAAAGAAAGAAATTAATAATTGATGGCTCAGTAGACGGTTCTCTAAATTGACTGAGTCGTCAAAATATTCCTGCAGAATTCCTGACAAAAAAATAAACATTACCTGAACACGTTCTGGTAGCAATTTTGAATTTCTGTTGTGTTATTTGTAGTGATCATCTTGCATTTTGGAGATACAAACAGTGAAAGATCAGATGTTTATAGGACAGAAACCACAGTGCTTCACTGGAGATCCTCTTAATTAAGCCCCAGAAGGTGTACATATATGTATCTTCCTAAAGCAGATCGCAGATAATGGACAACTTTCCCTGGTACAATATTTTGGAGACACCATTAAGCAGTGGGAGAATACCACGTTTCAGCAAGATATGGCAACTTCCCTGGGATGCAGCTGTAGTTTGGGTTACATCTCTACAAAACTCGGTGCTCATGTGCACTGCACAGGAAGTTGAAGTATTTTAACGTGCATTAAGTGGCGTAGGCACCCCATGCTATGTCTTCAAACTTATTTCTTTGCTGCCATCTGCTGCTCAAGTACAAGAAGATTTATGAAGAAGAGAACGCTGACACACACAGACTAGGATACTACAGAGCACATGATAAGAGAAAAGCACATTTTGCTATCAGGACTGATAAATCAACTAACCTCAAGAAAGCAAAGGACTACAAAGACAGGTCTGTTTTACATACCAGCATAACTTTTCTATTGTTCAACACAAGAATTAATTGTATCATGAAAAATGTTCCTTAGTGACACGCATGACAAGTTCTGTGGGATAGGGATATCCTAAAGAAACTGAACTACCTCAGCTTACTTTTCTTTCTTTATTTCAGCTGGCCATTTTCAAAAGCACCCAAACATAGGAAGAAATAGCTCTCTGTCTTTTCTTCTAGTTTCAATGGACAAGTAACCTTACAAAAAATTTTTTAGAGCTTCAAATCCACACAGAATTCAGTTTTAGGTTACAGACTATTTGAAAATTTGTATTTTCAACTCTGGTATTCCTCTAGTATTTCCTCCTAAGTATTCAAGTCCTCAGTCTAGGAAATTATTAAGAAAGCTCTAAACTGATATAAGTTATGATAGAGTATACTAACAACTTCCTACTGGACAGTGTATCAGATCTTTTCAGTATTTTCATGAAGTCATTAATCCTGCAGTGGGACTAACATCAGCATGTTGCAGTGTTGCAATTGGCTGTCTGATGGCTCAGAATTGCAGACATTTGAATATATCCCTAGAAGGTAATTGTAGCAGACCACGCAGAGAACAATGACAAACATGGAAGAATGCAAGTATGTTACGCTAGCAATATGAACTACAAAGAGCACAGGTTTTAGGAACTGCAACAACCCTTCCATCCAACAGCTGACACTTCAAACACTGTCCATGGCAAAACTGAGGTTTGGGAACCCAAACACTGACTTGTTTTGTACCAAGTCAGTACAAGCACTAAGGATTAAGCACACCACGAAAACAAAACCAGAATCTTTCTTTCCTGTCAAAATTAGTTTCCTCTGCGTTGGTGTCCTTATTCCTGTCTGACAACCTTCAGGGCAGATCCAGGGCTCACTGCAACAGTGGCAGATTCCAACAAATGTACCAATCCCTGCATAGAAGGACAAAAAGCACAGAATCTATTTTGTGCTGCAGGTCCCCTCTCCTGAATAAATGGGATTGTGTCCTTCAGCATAGGCCAAAATTTTGTTCCGATGCCACAAAATATCTTGTGAAGTACAATGGGTGAGCCATACTTCTGCTTTAAAAGAAGTCAACAGGAGTGAATGAGGCCCACGCTAAACACTGTAGCAACTCTATTCTTCAGGTATTCATTCAAAAGGAGATACAGAGCTTCTCCCAAACACAGGCTAGCACGCAGATCTCTGTACAGGAGGGATGTGGCGATGCTGGAGGGGATCCAGAGGAGAGCCATGAAGATGCTCAGAGGGCTGAAGCACCTCTCCTATGAAGAAAGGTTGAGTAAGCTGGCCTTATTTAGCTTGCAGAAGAGAAGGCTCTGAGAAGACCTCACTTCCAGCCTTCAGTACTTGAGTGGAACTTACAAGCAGGAGGAGGACCAACTTTTCAGAAGGTCTGACAGTGACAGGAGAGGAAGGAATGGCTTTAAACTAAAAGAGGGGAGATTTAGTTTAGATGTTAGGAAGAAATTCTTTACTCAGAGGGCGATGAAGCACTGGCAGACTGACCAGAGAGCTGTGGATGCCCCATCTCTAGAGGCATTCAAGGACAGCTGGATGGGGCCCTGAGCAGCCCAACCTGGTGGTTGGCACTGGGTGATAACTAATGTCCCCTCCAAACTAAGCCATTCTCAGTGCACTGCACTGAATAACACTCCCCCTACAAGCAGTAAACAAAATAAGGAAAAGGTAGACAAAAGAGAAACAAATTGCCCAAGGTCACAGAGCATCAGAACATATTATTGTGTGTCTCTCAACCACTAACCAGCACCACCGGCCAAGTCTTTTCTTCAGCCTCAGTGTTACACAATATTAGCAGAACTGCCATAGCACCCACAAGGCATAATATGACGTATAACTGGAAATGTACTAATAGATGCTTTAAGTATCAAATGTTATTACTTATATATTATATATAATATATATTACAATATATATTATTTAAAGCTTTTCTGCTTCAAGAAGTATTGTACTGGTAAGTTACCTGTCTTCCCCAGGGAGGTCTTCAATACTTCCAAACCCAGGGGTTGGCATAGGGCATCCCATGTGCTGGAAATGAGCTATGTGAGGTGCAGGAGCTGGAGTTTTCCCACCAGACTTTTTGTGCTCCTGCTCCGCTCTGACCCGGGCGTTCTCCCTGTCACAGACGAAACACTCGAAGCCATTCAGGTAATTGGGCAAAGTCATGTCATTCACACCCCACTCCCGCCTCTCCAAGCTCTCTAGCAAGAACTGGTTTTTGATGCCATCAAGGTTTTTATACTCTAGGTACTTCATGTATTCCTCTCCATTCTTGTCAAGGAAATCAAGATACTTTGCCAGCTCTTGGGGGCTCTCAAAGTCATCGATAAGAATGATGGAGAGGTTGTTTGGCATCCAGTCCCGCACGGCTGGGGAGCCTCGGTACACTGGGACAGCACCCAAATGCATTGGACGCCACAGCTTCTCTGTCATGTAGTCGTTACATATGGCATTCTCCAAGGCCAGGTGGAACTTGTACCTGGCGATAAAAGCCATGAATTCGGGATCTTCTGCAGTGGCTGTTGAAGTGTCTCTCAGTCGCTCGCTGGGAAGCTCCCGGTTATGAAGGCATTTTCCATAGGAGTCAACCTATAAAATAACCAAAATAACAAGTCATCTACACAAAGTGTTTTTTTTGCCTGGAGCTCATAGTCCTCCTAAAATTCCTAACTACCTCAGTTGAGCCTCGCTTTACTCCCAACTTCATTCCATCTAGCTGACTCCCAGATTTCCACTTCTCTTATAACAGCTTTAGTCATAAACTGAACGCTCAGTTCCAAAAGCAGCATAAACTACAAGTAAGGCAGAGGACAGGAGAAACAAGATTTTACAGAAAAAAAAAAAACAAAAACAAAAACAAACAACAAACGTATTTATTAGAGAACTAAGAAGAAACTAAGAGTTAAGAAAGGGCATCCAGCTTCCTTTATGTTGGTTTAAAAGTCATATTTCTACATTGTAGGGAGCAAGCCTTTTCCAAACAATGATTTCACACAGCTTCCAGTCTCAGCAGTTTGGCAAAACTTTCCACTTGTTAGACTGAAAAAAATGATGGATGTAGGGAGCTGCAAGAGTACTGTGGAAAAACAAAGAGTACGCTTGATTCAGGGTCTGCTTCGTGCTTTGACTATACAGAGGCAGGTTTCTAAAAAGATTTTGCCTTTGCTTTGTTACTTAACAAACAATGAACTTGCATAAGAAATTAATCACTGCTAATAAAAACAGCAGAATCAACTCAGAAGAAAACGTCTCTAAGATTTCCCCTATCGACCATCCTTTAGTTTTTAAGAAAAGAAAGCACTAAATTTGTTTTCACCCCATAGAAGTGGAGCTGTTTCAATTTGTGAAGCTGCTCTCCACAGGCGGTGCCCCAGCAGAGCCAACCGGCACAGGCACAGCAGAGCCCCACCACAAGGCAGACGAGGAGCAGGCTCTCAAAACACGGCAAACTGCACGCCCATTCTTGTAAGTGGGAGCAAGGCTCGCCAATGGACTCGCAGCCTTCCTTCCCTCCCGCTCACCTAAAGCTCCAGATTCCAGCAGCGCACAGCGCTCGGTCCGCAAGGTCTATGCAGGCTCGGCACAACTTTCTGCCGATCGCAAGCCGGCCAACCCCGCAACGCCCAGCAGCTCCCACCGGCACGCAGCTAGCCTTTCTGTCCGGCCTGCCGCTCCCCGTTACGACTCACGTCTCGGCAGAACCGAGGACAAACGCGCCCCGTTAACGGAGCGGCTCGGCCAGGCCGGCCCGGCTCCCGCAGCGCCCCGCGCCGCCGCACGCACCTGGATGTACTTCATGAGCTCCCGCACGTAGCGGTCCCGGTCCGAGGGCACGTCGCAGTGGGACTGCACGTAGAGCACCGGCCCGTAGCCCCGCCGCCGCCACTCGTCCTTCTCGGCCAGGGGCAGCGCCGGGCCCCGCAGGTAACCCGCGCCGGGCAGCCACTGCAGAGTCAGCGGGTAGTCCGACTCGCGGCGGAAGGTGGCCGTGTAGTTGAAGAGGCGGATGCCGGGCGGGTGCGAGAGGAGGAAGTTGTTCATGGGCGACTCCTCGTGGAAGAGCGCCCACGTCTGGTGGGGCAGGCGGGGCAGCGGCGCCTCGTAGGCGCGGAAGTCGGTGCCGTAGAAGATGAGCGCCTTGGTGCGGCGGTGCCGCGCCGCCCGCCGGCTGCGCGTGACGAGGCAGGAGCCCCGCGGGCAGTCGATGCGCTCCGTGTCGCCGGGGAAGTGCGGGAAGAGGCTGCCGCTCCACCACAGCAGGATGGGCAGCGCCTCGTCGCCCCGCGCGTCGTCGTTGCCCGGCCCGCGGTACGACGCCGCGGCCGCGAAGGCCGGAACCGGCGGGACGGCGGTCTGCGCCCAGCCCTCCGCCCCGCACGGCGTCCCCGCGTCCCCCGGCCCGGGCTCTCCGTCTCCTTCCCCCTCCCCCGCGGCGGCCCGGCTCCCCGCGCCCCACGCCAGCGCCAGCGTCACCCAGAGGCAAGCGGGCCCCCGCCGCGCCGGGCGGCCCGGCCCTCCGCCTCCCATGCCCCGCCGCTCGGCCCGCGCCGGCCGCCCCGCCGCCAGGAAACGGCCGCGCCGGGCCCGCCCTCGGGCGGCGCTGCGTGAGGAGGCGCGCGGGCGGCGGCCGCAGGGGCGGGGGGCGCCGCGCGTCTGCGCTCTGACGTGAGCAGAACGCACGTCCTCTCTGCCTCCAGCGCAGCGAGCGGGTCGAGCTCGGCTCCGTCCTGCCGGAGACGGAAGCGGGACTCCTTCCCGGCGGAGCCGCTGTTCTGAATGAGCTCACGTGTAGCTGCTCTCCTGCACGAACATGGAAATAACGCCTTTGGTATAGAAATGAAAGGAAAGGGGGTACTTGCAGACCGCTCGCTGCAAAATGCAAGTTCTGAAATAAAAAAAAACCTCGCTGAGATCAAACAGCGCCTTTTGTGCCTTTGCTCTCGTTGAATTTTTTATCGCCGATCGCAAGGAAGAAAGGAGCAAAGCTGCTCCGCAGAAAAACAGGTTGTGAAGGAGCACCCGGCCAGACTGCAGCCCTTCCCCTCTCCTCCCTCCCGCAAAATACAGGGTTTGGAAAAATAAGCAGCGTTTATTTACTAACAATGACATAAAATACATCTTAATATATTTTTATTTCTTTACAAATTAAAAGATGCATTGGAAAAAAACAAGTGAAGAAAATGAAAGGTTCATTTTACGATCTCATTTTCACCCCCCACGCCCCTCAGTATTAACACTAGAAATTAGTATCTGTGGAAAGTTGTGGTTGCTGAGCCTTATATTCCTGGGAAGATTTTCCCCAGGTGGTTAAAAATCCTCTAGCTCTTTTGGTTGGAGGCAATGCATGGAATAAAACGTCAGCCACATTCATACAAAAACAAGGAAGGTTTTGTCAACTACTTTGTCAGTTTCTCCATACTCCCTTTTCTATGTAGTGATGGGAGGGAAGACAAATCAGCAGCGTCGTAAGAAAAATGGATTTATATACATGCTACAGGATATGGAGCTAAAACCACAGCCAGATATTTTTCTGATCCCAATAAGAACTTTTCTCTGAAGAGTCAAGCCCAGACAATAGCTCCTCTAACCACCCACAATTTTTCCTCCCCCTTGTAGTGCTCAAACTCCAGGGAAGTTTAAGAACACTTGTTAACTGCCCAAACTGCTACACAATCCCCCTTCCCACAGTGAAGGATCAAAGCCCTTAAAATTCTGAATCTGATTTGCACTTTGCTCCTTCTTCACAGAATTCTTCTCAACCATCCCCGCAGAATGGAGTGGCAGAGTGGCCAATGTGGATGGACTCGTGTCTGAGGTATTTTAGTTTAACAAATAGGCTTATAAAAAGGATTTGTGCAAGCTGATAGGTAGAATGGAAAGCGGGTATAAACATCCAGTGATGAAACTTCACTACGGCCAAAACCCTTCCCAGTAACTGAAATCAGGTACTTGCAATACCTAATACAGGGCAGTCTAAACCTCAGGTTTTGTCCCCCGTTCCTTGTAATCCAGGGCACAAAGCTGTCTCAAATCTGGGTCAGTAGAAATCATACTCCTGCTTGTCTGCTATGAATTACAACAGTGTGGCCCAAAGTGGCCAGTTCCTTATCATCCAGCTCCCACACAGCCCCAAATCACCTTGTAACAGTATTTTCTGCTCAACTTTAAGAGGATTTTGCTCTCACTGCCATCTGGATAGATTCTTCTGCAGAAGAAGTGAGGCTACAGAACATGGACTGAGTGGGATATTATCACAGGGCTGTGAAATGAGAAAGAAAGGAGTCACCACCCATACCAACAAGAAGCACTAACTACCCCTGTGCTGTTCAGAAGCTGTTGATAGTTACTGAATTATTACTTCCTCCAGTGCAGATCTGCAGATCAACTTACAGCACAGGGAAGAAAGCAGAAATAAATCTGTCCTGCTGCCTACTGGCTTTCTATGCTTTTTTTGGGGGGGAAGATTTCTGGTTCAGACAAATACGATACACTTGTGCTCTGCAATGTCATTTTTCCTCTACAAAGAGAAAGGAAATGTTTGGCTGCTTTAGCTCCCATCACCCAACCTGCCTCTTGCCCTCCCAACCTGCACACCCTCTGTACAGTAGGAGCATGCCCACGCGCCCATACAAACACACAGCAACTACTAGAAATTTTGAAGTTATCGCTTTTTCACCCAATGTTGAATCATGTACAGTGAACTGAAAAAAAAAACTACATTCATTACAACGGGATTAGCGAGCATGGGGCGGGGGGTGAACTCCTGCCAAGCACAGGAAACAATTTAGATACAAGTAAAAGACCTGGTATCAAAGGCCCTTTTTTTTTTTTTTTTTTTTTTTTTTTAAGCCCTCACCAGGAAAAAGAATTCATTTCTCATATGGGACCAGGAGAGGTTGAAAGGATTTCTGCGTATGTCATGTGTATTAAAAATTATGGAATTGTACAGATTTCTATGTTGTCCTTTTTGAGGGCGCTGGACCTTCCGATCAGATCATTAGAGAAGACTGAAATGTCACTGCTGAGTTCCAGCACCACTCCCTCCTCTAGCTCAGTAGCTGCCGAATCTCCTTGTGCATGTGACACAGGAAGTCCACATATGAAGCCCCCCCAGTTAGGCTCTTATCCTCCACCAAAAAATGTTTGAAGAGCATTTCCAGCTTATCTTCTTGCTTCACAATAATTAACTGCCAACAAAAACACGATAGTTAGCACAATTTATGCTCTTGGGAAAAAAAAAAAGCTAGATAGCTCAAAATACAACCAAGACAACTAGAAACACAGCAAATAGACCTTCTGTGCTTTCACTTTCATACTTGTGTTAAGTCTCAGTCATATTTATAAAGAAAACTCCACATACACAGTTTGTGGAGAAGTATAATTAGATTGAAAATCATTAGCTTTAGAGCTTGGTAAGCATGAACTCTAAAACTAATACCAGATTTTTTTTTCAGATCCTTGAAAAAACGTGTAAGTTTGAATCACAGTTGTTAAGACTGTGTTCAGCATTAGGTTTTACATGAACAGGATTAGCATCACCTGCTTTGCCAGGAGTAAAAGAGGTGAATAAGAGCTGTGAATAACGATCAGCATTTTTACCTTCATGTATCGGGATCTCTGCAGGTGAAGCATGTCAATAATAGACCGTACTTTCTTTGAAAAGGGGTTTTCCAGGACAGGCAGGGTACTCTGAAATGGAAGATATCCAATCCCCATTAGTCAGGTGGAGAAATATAACAGCATTAAACAAAGCCAGCAAAAACAAGAACAACACAGCAGGACTGGCATATTATTTAACATTACAAATATATTTACTGTCACAATTTCCTTGACTTCTGCTATTACAAAAGGAAATGTCACATGGTATCAAAACTAAAGATTGATTATTTTTGTATCGGCTGTTCTTATCACCAATGGCAATGTGGCTTGCCAGATTAAGCTAGGCAAAAGGAAGTGTACATGCTCAGACTGGATGTCTCCGCTACTTTCATACACCCATGCTTCTCATTGTTATTAACACAAAAAAGTTAAAATTATTTTCTCAACTTGCTTTCTCAACGTTTCAACTACTGGGCAACTATCACAGACAGCATCTCCCACACTGCCACCCAGCTCACCAAGGTGTTGCTAATCTGACTGAAGGATGACACTCCAAAGAGGTTCTGGATCAGGCCTTGCTGCACGTTCACTCCCACCCACACAAAGATGTTTAGCCCATTCTCCAGCAGGTAGATGTCACCCTTGGAGAGACGTTCCTCTGAGTTTCGGATTGCTGCCGGTAAGGAGTCACTGTCAACATCTGCTTTGGTCTGTTTTAGAGTGAAAAAATCAGAGTTATAAAACAAAAACATTTAGGAAGTCTGGAAAATTTCTGTCACAAGATCCTAGTGGTTTTTTAATGTTTATAACACTGCAGTAGCTGTGACTGAAGTATCATCTTTCTTGACTAGTTTTCTTATTGAACAAGACACTGGTAAGAGACTATTGGTTAACAAAAGAAAACAGAAGTTGCTCTGAAAGTAATCTGTAGTTTCAATACTGCTTCCTGGAGCATTAATGTAATTAGTATTTAGTGTTATTTCAACAACTACAATACTGGAAAGCGAGAATAGTAAGAGAAATTTCCCTGCAACAACTAAAATTATAGCAAGATTACAAAAAGCCTTACAATTTAAAAAAAAAAAAAAAAAAAAAGCTACCACAGATTTAAAAGATTTTTCCATGCCACTGGTTACATGCTCACAGCTCAGAGCAAATCCTCCGACAAATTCACAAGAGGCAGAAATACAGCTATCACTGAGTGAAATTAACCCAAGTATCTCAATGGATGCCAGATCCCAAATACCTCTCAAATGGCTTTCCACTGATAAAACACAAATGCCAGTCACTGGGACAAGTCAAGACAACAGTGAATCTCAAGTGTTACGAACGTCTCAAAAGACTCACCAGGGGCAAAAGCCTGGGATAAAAGAAGACATTTGTTTCTGCCACGTCCATGGATGTGACTAACTGACGAATGTAGGCACGGTCATCTGTTGTGACCTCTGGACCAGGCTGAAGGACGTCACTCTTCAACACACAATTCAAGTAGACAGGAAGCAGCTTCATGCATTCAGGAAGAATCAGCTACAAGTCACAAGCATACAGAAGATGTTCAGCTCTCTTGCTGAGTAAGCTTATGCCTGACAAAACAAGCCTAGAGTGAACCAACAGTGTGGCACAAATGTGAGAACAGAAAACTGACAATCTATATACAATATGGACCTGCAAAAGTAACATAACTGGAGCAAGTAGTGCTTTCTGAGCTCCAGAAAATTGTCCAACAAGCCATTCTCAACCGTAGTTTCACTTGTACTCTCCTTTTCTATTTTTTTTGAATAGGCAAAATAATCAAGGAATCTGCTAAAATCACATTTTAGTATCTGAGTCCATGATTCAAATTAAAGCATCAGAGTTTACCTGGCCAGCAGAAGATGGACTAGCACAGTTTTTTCGATAGCAAGCCAGGATCTGTGCACACTGATTTA